TCCCCAGCACCACCATGGTTCCCTGAGCCTGCCAGAAGTGGTCCCTGAGCACAAAGCCAGGAGTAAGCCCTTAGCACCTCCAAGTGTGGCCCCCAAATAAAAACAAAGATAAATCCAACCTTCTATGCCCATGCACATATGTCCAACTTCCTCTCCTACTTCTTTCCCTCCTAATCCCCCTTTTTTAAAATAATTTTTTTAAGTCACCATGAATTACAAAGTTATTCATGATTGGGTTTCAGAAATACGGTGCTTGAACATCAATTCCTTCACCAGTTCCCTCCATACCCATCCGCCTGCCTCTATGAGAGGTATTATTATTATTCACTGTACTACTGTCATCCTGTTGTTCATTGATTTGCTCTAGCAGGCACCAGTAACATCTCCTTCGTCCTAGCCCTGACATTTTAGAAAGTGCCACATTCGAGGCTCTTTCAGGGTCAGAGAATGAGACCTATCATTGTTACTGGTTTTTGGCATATTGAATACACCACGAGGAGTTTGCCAGTTTGAAAAAATTAGTGTTCAAAGCAGGCCCGAACTGCCTGGATACCGCAGCTAAGAATAATGGAGTAGGACCGCGGTTCTATTTTGTTGGTTTTCAGAATTGAGGCTATGATTAAGAGGGACAGCCAGGGGCATTCGTATTGCGCCGCTAGAGGTGAAATTCTTGGACCAGTGCAAGACGGACCAGAGCGAAAGCATTTGCCAAGAATGTTTTCATTAATCAAGAACGAAAGTCGGAGGTTTGAAGACGATCAGATACCGTCGTAGTTCCAATCTTAAATGATGCCAACTGGTGATACAGCGGCGTTATTCCCATGACCCGCCGGGCAGCTTCCAAGAAACCAAAGCCTTTGGATTCCGGGGGGAGTATGGTTGCAAAGCTGAAACTTCAAGGAATTGACGGAAGGGCACTACCGGGAGTGGAGCCTGCGGCTTAATTTGACTGAACACGGGAAACCGGACATGGACAGGATTGACAGATTGATAGCTCTTTCTCAATTCCGTGGGTGGTGATGCATGGCAGTTCTTAGTTGGTGGAGCGATTATTATTATTATTAAACTTAAATTTGTTTTCCTTTTGGGGTCCCACCCAGCAATGCTCAGGGGTTAGTCCTGGTTCTGCACTCTGGATTATTTCTGGCGGTGCTTGGGGGACTATGTGGGATGCTGAGAATCAAACGAGCATCAGCTGCATGCAAGGCAAATGCCCTGCCCACTGTACTATCCAGTCCCAAGAGAGGCATTATTTTTAAAAATAACATTTGACAGTGTAACCCCTGAGCTCTCACTCCCTCTAACCCACACTGGCCTTTTTTTTCTGGACCTAGTAAAAATTTCGTTGTTCATCGATTTGCTCGAGCGGGCCCAGTAACGTCTCCGTCATGAGACTTGTTTTTACTGTGTTTGGCATATCGAATACGTCACGGGGAGCTTGCCAGGCCTACCCCTGTGCTATCGCTCCAACCCAAATAAATAAAATAAGGAAGTAAAAAAAAGTAACTGTGGCTCCAGTACCATGAAAGAGAGCAGAATCCTTGAACTTTTATTGCTTAGAGCTATCGGCACAGCAGTAGGGCGTTTGCCTTACAAGCGGCCAACATGGCCAACCCGAGTTCGATTCCTCTGCCCCTCTCGGGGAGCCCGGCAAGCTACCGAGAGTATCTCGCCCGCACGGCAGAGCCTGGCAAGCTCCCCGTGACGTATTGGATATGCCAGACACAGTAACAACAAAGTCTCCAATGGAGATGTTACTGGGCCCACTTGAGTAAATTGATGATCAACGGGAGGACAGGGACAGTGACAGGGATACACCTGGCGGTACTCAGGACTGACTCCTGGCTCTGTGCTTAGGAACTACTCTTGGCAGGGCTTAGGGAACCATATAGGGTGCTGGGGATCATACAGGCCAACTGTGTGCAAGGCAAGTGCCTTACCTGGTATACTATTTTTCTGGCCCTCTCCTTTTTATTTTCAAAAAAGGCCTCTAAAACAATGTATACAGGACCAGGTAAGGAACTTGCCTTGCATGCAATGACTGGAGTTTGATCCCAGGGACCCCAGATGTCTCCCCAGACTGGCCTCCTCCAGGCATGATCATTGAGTGCAGAGCCAGGAGTAAACCCTGAGCACAGTAGGTATGATCCCCACCCCAAGTGAAAACCCACAAACTGAAAGAAAAATTTTCTTATATTTAGAATATACTGGAGCGATAGCACAGCGGTAAGGCGTTTGCCTTGCACGCAGCCAACATGGCCGACCCGAGTTCGATTCCTCCGCCCCTCTCGGAGAGCCCGGCAAGCTACCGAGAGGATCTCGCCCGCACGGCAGAGCCTGGCAAGCTCCCCATGACGTACTCAATATGCCAAACACAGTAACAACAAAGTCTCCAATGGAGACGTTACTGGGCCCGCTCGAGCAAACCGATGAACAACGGGAGGACTGTGATACCGTGAAACCATGACATCGTGAGTAAAAATTACAAATTCATTCCCACCTCAGGGCTTTCGACGGACCAGTGGCTGTCTGGAATGACCTCCCACCCTCACCTGACCTCTTCATTTGGTGTCTCTGCGCAGTTACCACCTCCTGGCTTTCCACAACCAGAAGAGCACTCTCCATCTCTGCTAAAACCTGGAGTTCCTTTACTGTCGTCTCCACAGGACAAGGTCATTCATTTTTTTCTGCTCACTCCTATAGCCCCAAGGCCTAGATTAGCATCTGGCACATAGTTGACACTCGAGAAGTATTTGCTGCTCTACTGAATGAAATAGAAATGTTTCAATAACTGCAGTCTGGAGAAAAGCTGGCTGATATAGTGGCAGAGGGATGTATAGGCGTGCAGAGCTGCAGTGGAAAGCCACTTCATATTGTTCTCGCAAGCTCTTTGCAGCACATTCCCAAACACCAAAGCAATAACTGCTGCTTTCCAAGAAGCATGCATTCAGTGTAAGATCAGCAAACATCTATGATCTCTTAGCTTCTCCAACCCATTTGCCATAATCCAGTGTGGGGTCTAAAATCCACAATGTCTCTCTTCCACTCACTCTTCTTCATCTATTCCTTCTCTGAGATAAAGCTCAAAGGGATATATGATAATCTTTCATATGTATTGCAAGCCATAATGCCCAAAAGGAGGGGGGGAGAGAGAGAGAGAGAGAGAGAGAGAGAGAGAGAGCTGGGGGTGGGGGGGTGGGGGAAAGTGGGGACACTGGTTCTGGGAAATGTACACTGGTAGAGGGATGAGTGTTGGAACATTGTATGACTAAAATCCAATTATGAACAATTTTGTAACTTTTCTGTGTATCTCACTGTGATTCATTTTTTTTAGTTTAAAAAACAAACATTCCTTTAAGTAAAAATCAGGGGGAAAAAAAAATCAACCCCCAAACATCTTGCTGTGGCTTATACAGAGCTGGAAGCGTGCCTTCCCTTGCCTCCTCATTTCTGACCCTTCCCACTCGGAAGTATCAGAGTAGCCAAATCAAATGTTTGCTGTTCTCCAGAGATGCATTTTAAAACCCATTGTTTTCTCTACCTGGAACACCCTTCTCATCCCTTTATGGATCAGTTAGTTTTCCTGCACAACAAACCACCCCAACATTCTCCCTTCAGTGTCTCTGCACCTTTCAGGATTCCCAGAAGACAATGTGAGCAGTGTGCAAGTATTCGTTTCTGCCCAGGTCACATTTGGCCAAAGGATGGAAACACAAACTCCATTTTTTTCATGGGAATGACGACATGCACAAGAAATTATGAAAGACTGGGGACAGTTAAGTGTAGATGTTCTTGCAAACAAATATACCACATTTCCCCACCTCTTTAAGAGCACTGGCTTTTCTCTGGTCCTACTCTAGACATCACCTCTAGAGTGATTCTTCTGATCCCTGAATATGAATGAAAACCTCCCCCACAAAATACTCACTTGTACCATTACTGCATTATTCCTATTATCAATGAATAAATAAGCATGAATTTATATAAATGCTATCTCTCCAGATCATACAGTCAACTGCATTCTCCACTTGATGGCAATGTAACGTCAACTTTTTTATCTGGCAGGAAAGCCAAGGCTTAAATCTCAGGGTCTTTTTTTTGTTTTGTTTTATATTGGGGCAAAACTGGTGTTGCTCAGGGGTCACTCCTGGCTTAGCACTCAGGAATTACTCCAGCAGTGCTCAGAAGACCATACGGAATGCTGGGAACCACATCCAGGTTAGCCAAGTGCAAGGCAAGTCCCTGTCCTGCTTGTTCCAGCCCCATTAAGTCTGTTTGAAATTCATTGTCTAGTGCAGGACCTAATACAATGTAGGTATTTAAAAATAGCTGTGAAATAAACAGGTAGCTATAATAAAAGTAAAATGGGCCAATTGCCATTAAAAGTAGGTGCATAAAATATTTCATGGGACTGCTGCAAAAGCAGCAGGCTGCAAATATTTGGGAAGATTAGAGACAGCATAAAACTGGAATAAAAACAAAATGCCCATCAGAGGGAAGGAAATTAGTAAGAAAAAGCAGCACTTTATTATTAGTAGTAGATTGTTGACACTTTTTTTTTCATTATTTATTTTGCCGTTTGGGTCTCACCCGGCGATGCTCAGGGGTCACTCCTGGCTCTGCACTCAGCAATCACTCCTGGCGGTGCTCAGGGGACCATCTGGGATGCTGGGAATCGAACCCGGGTCGGCCGCGTGCAAGGCAAACACCCTGCCCGCTGTGCTATTGCTCCAGCCCCGAGACTTTTTTTTTCCAAGTTCCACTTCTCTTTGGCAAATGTTTTCCTTTCTTGATTATTAACTTCCTCATCTGAAAGCCGATGAATTCTGTCCTTGCATACGCATCTTCCACTCGGCACTGAGCTTCATCCCCAGCATGCATGCTTATGGCTTACCCGCAGGAATGAAGTCCAGCGACTGGGAGAAAGCACTGTCAAGACTGAAGGCTGGACTGAAGGGTTCCCTGAACTTCACAAATACATATGTACATGTGTGAGGGAGCATGTGGATACACACCTTTTATTTTATTTTTTACAAAAATAATGTAACAGGGTTACACAGCACTAAAGTCACATAGGCGAGATGTATGTTACGGTATAACCATTTTTTAAGTCTGGATCAAAGTGGGAATTTTGGACCTGAAAATCTTAAGATTACTAAACAAAGGCCACATCGCAAGAAAGATGTCACTATTCTTGTTCATCACAGAAACAGAATCATGTTGCTACTATCCTTAGCTGGCTGTTACATATTCCATCAATTATTTTCTCTTAAATTAAAATACAAAAGCAAAAAGGGCCATGAAATAATCTTCAATTCATTGCACTAGTACATATATACTAACTGCATGATAAGCTCTATATACCGGGGTGATCTTTCAGCAGGTGTTGCCTTGGCTACAGTAAACACAGTTCCCAGCCAGCAACCACCAAACACAGAATGCATGCAGGACAGGGGAGAAGGACACCTGTGGGTTGCTATCTTTTTACATGGCAACCCAAACCAAAATAATAGAAGCAAATCTTACAATATAAAACATTTTATATTTATATAATAATTTGCGGTAATATGGAATAGTTTTATCAGAAGGAATACATTTGTCTAATCACAGTCACAGGAAAGAACATAAAAACTTACTGGAACCCTCAGCTCTCTCCTAGAATATTCAAAATTCGCATCAAGAGTTAGTTGGTTTGGTACAATAAAAAGACCCAACAGGTGATCGATTAAACCGTGTCATTTAGTATTAAAAACCACAGACAGATTCTGGGACAAGACGCTACCACCAAAAATACCCACCAAAATAGGAATTGATAGACAACTCTAGTTCGCGTACTAGATACTATGAAATACAACAATTAAATGTCCACTCGGACTACCAATGCAAGGCAGTCGCCTAAGAGACATAGCAGAGGAGAAAGCACACACAATTCCACCAGAGCATCCTCCAAGCCCTGCTGGGTTTTTCTGTCGCGTCCCCGGTCCCTCGCCCTGCTCCCTGAGTCACCTGTTGCGGGGTACTTAAATCTCTCAATGGCACTAGCCCTTTCCATCTGCCCCGCCGCAGAAGGCTGTGCCGGAGCCCAGGCTTGGTTCCGCAATCTCCCCCGGGTGCTGGTTTTGATGCTTGACTGTTGCACTGAGCGGGCCTCGGGGCCACAGGGCGCGTGGGGTCAGAAGAAGGAGGTGTCGGAGGAGAAGGCGCCGGCCAGGCGGAAGTCCTCCTTGGTGAGTACGCTGTACATGCGCTGGGGCAGGGCCCGCGAGTAGGGCGCGGGCCGGGGCACCGTCGTGCGGAGCAGGAGCTCGCGGCCAGCAGGCGGTGGGAAGTCGGACGCGGCACTGGGCCTGCGCTCCTCGGGTGCTCCCGGCCTCTTCAGCTCCTCCTCCGGCGGGGACAGGGCGGCGGCCTGGGAAAAGAAAGAACCGAAGGCTGAATGCAAGCTCGTCAGAGGGCCAGGCCCGGGGCCTGTCAAAGGACGGATGGACAAACGCGATCAAACACGCATGAATGTTCTACAGGAAGCGGTTCGTGCGGTCCACTCGGAACTCACGACCCGGAAAACGGCACGCGGGGCTGGAGGGACGAGGCCTGCCAGGCCAAGGTTGCTCTGAAAAAACGGGAGCCCCAATCGGACGGCTGATGTCGAGGACTGTTCTGGTTTTCACACGTTTCTTCCTGCGATGGCCCATGTCCCGGTCAGATACCCCCGTCCAGAAAAGAGCTGCTTCTCCCCACCATCTGGGGAGACCTTTTTTTTTTTTTAAATCTTAATTACGTCCATCAGTTCTAATTCATTTGCCTCATTAAAACGGGGCATACAAGCTTTGTTTGCTGGAGGTCCAATGTGATAGAGAAGTGACAGGAGATGCATGCAGCAACGGCCACAAAAGAGAAGTCCTCAAATACTGAACACATCTATTTTCTCCACTAAGATGGTATGACATCCATATTCTAGTAGAGGCATCGTTTTGAACTCTGATTACTATACCTTTGTTTCTCAAATCACTACAGCTTTGAAAGTACCATCAATCACTTGGGGGGGGGGGACATTTTGGCGTGAAATATGGAAATCGTGTTACGCTAATATGAGCAAGAAAGGTAAGCCAAGTCCTGACTGTTCAAGAGGTGGTTCGTCTAATGACCATATGAAGTCAGAGGGACAGGAAGGAACAATGAGGGACAAAGGCTATTTTATTACCTCATCAGAAGATTCAGTCAGCTTGAGAAAGAGTGAGAAAAGAAACAGTGATGAAAAGGAAACAAGAAAGATGGTTTTAAAAGAGCTAGAAAAAGAGTTCAAAATTACTTCAGAGACAGCATGCACTACTTCAAGAAATACTGGTCCTATCAGAAGAATATCAAGACAAACACACAATGCATACAAACGCAGCCATCAAACTGAGCAGCCAGGTCTCAAGACTCATGCATCTTGACTATACAGAGTGTCATCTGTCTGGGGAAATGAGTCCCAAAAAATCTAGCTCTTCTGATGGAAGAATTAAGATGCTAAGAAAAGTGCTTATGACTTAAAACATAAATAGCTCCAATGAATTTAAGAATAGGTATTGAATGTGAGAGTTATTCAATTCACAGCAAGGCTGGAGAAAATCAGATCAGCAGTTTATTTGCTAATTTCATTTAAAGATATCTGAACACCTGTAACTATGAAGCTTATTAAAATGCATAATTTTAAAGACATTTCTAAATATAATATTGTGTACTATAAAAATTAGTGATAGTTCATAATTTAAGTGCTCTTGACATTATTTTTTTCTTTTTTGGGTCACACCTGGTGATGCACAGGGGTTACTCCTGCCTCATGCACTCAGGAGTTACTCCTGGTGTTACTCAGGGGACCCATTGGGATGCTGGGAATCGAACCTGGGTCGGATATGTGCAAGGCAAACACCCAACCTGTTGTGCTATCGCTCCAGCCCCAGTGTTGACTTTTTTTAAATGGGCATACCAGTTAACTGGAAAATTATATAAATAAACTGAATGGATTAACTTTAGCCAGATATTTAGGAACTGGGTTTTAAAATGAACCAACTAGGCAACTGTCATACATTAACCGAGTCAAACAATTCTCTATAACGAACTGCTTAAAAGGTTTGAAAATATGAAATGTTTAAAATTACATGATTGGGACAAATGTATAATTTCAGTATCCATTAAAGGGGATGAAGTATACAATGAGGTCACTGAAAAACAAAACTGATATAGAAAAAACTATACTAAAATGAAAACTAAGAAAAATCAATTATGTAATATCCTATTTTTATAAAAGCTACATATATTTGTACATACTAAATGTAAACTGTTAACAGGGACCATCATTCATAATGAGATGTGATTAATTTTATTTCATACGATATTTTTTTATCATCCAAATTTTTACAATAAGCCTTGCAGGCTGAGGAAGGGAAAGGCTACTTTTTACTTTGGGGAAAATAACATTGTGTAAGCATTAAAAACAAGTAATGTTTTCAGCACTAGAAATAAAACCTTTCTATTTTAAAGCCTCTTAACATACAAGTTTTAAAAATAAGGAAGAGGAAAGGTTTGAAATATGAAAAAAAAAATCACACTGCTGCAAACAAAGAAATGTTCTTAGAAGCTTCTGGCAAGTGAGCTGGTGAATACGTCAGAGGATGTGAAAACAAACTCAGCTCTTGGTTTCGTGCCAGCGACAAAATGAAAATAAATCAAGTAAGTACCTATTGTTTCTAGAGCTGTAACAGCAAAAATGATATATAAGATTTTAACTTAAATTTCCATTGTTCTTTCCTTTTTGTTTTTGTACCACACCTGGTAGAGTTCAGGAGTTACTCCTAGCTCAGGGATCACTCCTGATGGGCCTCAGGGACCATATGGGGTGACGGGGATTGAACCCAGGTCGGCTGCATGCAAGGCAGTGTCTCTAGCCTCTAACTTAATAAAAAATTTTTTATTTTAGAGGTCATTCCATAAGCAACCTTAGGTTTTAGGTTTCTGTGTTTTTTTTGGAGGGATAGAGGTGTGGGTGTTTGTTGCTGGGGCCATACCCAGCAGTGCAACCATATGCAGTGCTAGGGATAGAATTGGGGTTGAATTGCATGAGACATAAGCACCTTAGTCCCCATTCTATCTTTCCAGCCTCGGGTTTCAGTTCTTGTTAAAAATTCATATATTAGGCTACAATTTTGAAAATATTATCTAGTTGTGCTCCAGACTCACTCAGGGAGTTTATGAAGCTGATATTCCATGTTTAGACTCATGAAAGTTTTTTTTTAAATCTCATTTGATCCTGAGAATTACTCTTTCAAAATTGGGTCTTGGGGGTTAGAGAGATAACAGGGGTTATGGTGTTTTTCTTGTAAGCAGCCAACCCTGGTTCAATCCTGAGAGGCCCCTTAGCAACAACAGATGCGGATCTAGAGTTTCTGTAGCAATACTTGAGTGACCCAGATAATCCCTGGCTTTGCAGGGACCAAATTGCACTTCATTCTTGGGCCCTAGCATGGAACTGATGGCCTGGTTGGCTGAGAACTGCCAGAAATGGGCACTGTGCCTTCTGATCATGACCTGAGAGAAATCACTACACCCCACCACCACCCAAAAAATATATAATAATAATTCAGATCGTAGAGTTCAACAGGCTGAGTGCACGCTTTCCATGCAGAAAGCCTGGGTTTGATCCCCAGCACTGCATGATCCCCCCTGAGTACCACAGGAGCACCCAAAGCACAGAGTCAGGAGTAACTCCCAAGCGATACCTGGTGTGGCCAGAAACAAAAATCAAAATTGGATCCTTGTAGGGTGGTCAGAGTGCGAGGGAGAGGGACCCAATATTTAGGTCACTGCATCATATCAGGTACTAATGAGCCCCGATCTGAAGACATGCAGCAGAATGCCAGGCCCTCTCACCCAGCACCGAGCCACAACACACAGGCTTACTCGGATCACTTTCATAGAAATCAATTCCAAGCAGCATCATCTTCTTATATAACTTTGAAAACGTTACTTTTACTAGATAGATCAGGACAAGTAGAAATTTTCAAATTGGGTTTTATTTCTGTATTGAAACCTAAGTTTCTAGTCTGAAAATATAAACTCTTGTTCTTCTGCCTTTCTAAGAAATCGCAAATGTTAGATTTCTTCACCATTCCCAGGTTAGTTTTCTTCACTTCACAAGCTAAGCTGTGAATTCACTTACTGTAAAATGGTAAACTGAACTTTATTTTGTTTTTGGTGTTTGGGCCACACCCAGTGGTACTAAAGGAGTACACCTGGTTCTGCACTCAGGAATCATTCCTGGTGGGCTCATGTATGGTACCAGGGATTGAACCCAGTTGGGCATATGCAAGGAAAGGGCCTTACCAGCTGGTAATACTATTCTGGCCCCAAGTAAAGCTGAACTATAATTTGAAAGCACTCACTCCTTTTTTCTAGAGGATAGCACTGGCCACTGTTAACAGAGTCCCCATCAGATTCTGTAACAATGGGTTTTAGACCTCTATAAATTTCTTAAAATTGTAAGAAAGCAAGTGGATTTCAAAGACTCAGAAGTCCCTGGTAGACTCTTTCTCTGGTATTTGAACCCAATACCCCACCTTACATTCAGTTAGCAGCTGTCCCAACAGTCAAGCGGGGGAATCCAAACAGCCTCTTACTGAGCAGAGGTCTGGAGAGATCGTGATCCAGAAAACAAGGATTCTCACGTACCCGCTGGGCATTGACAAACAGCTTGTGGATGATCCTGCCAGCATGTCCTCTTCCTGCACCAATGACTAACACTTCAGGCTGCTCCAAGAGGCAACTCACGAACCTAGGAGAGAGAAGGCAAGCTGTTGAGCTCACATCGTGTCACTCCTGCCAGATTAATTTTGTGACAAACCCTCAACGTTGATACCAGTTAAACCTCCCAAGGCTGTAGTGGAAATTTTATAACAGGATAGATTGACATTCAGAATTAAAATCCACTCAGCTGACAGTTTCACTTTTAACAGTTTTCATAAAAACTTTTCAGAGTTTATCTCGAAAAATTTAACAAGAAATAATCAGTCTATTTCCCACATTAGCTTTGAAAACGCTATGATAAAAAGGAGACCAAAAAAAAATGTTTAGACAACAAAACCAATTTTACTTATGTAGCATAAACACTGATCCATACTTCTTTTTATTTTTTGTGCTTTTAAGGTCATGTGCACCGCCTGGTCACTAATCCATACTGCTGTATTAGAATTAGCCCTTGTTCCTATCAGTTAAAAAGAAGCAATTTCCAATAGCAAAGTAGCCTGGAAGAAAAATCTTCTCAACAAGAAAATTTAATACATGTTTCTATGGGTTTCTGTGTATGTACTGCTTGAAATGTATGTTTTTCCAGGCAAAACCTCAATTTCTTTTTGTTTATTTTTGGGCCATGGCCAGTGGTGCTCAGGACTCACTCCTGGCTCTGCACTCAAGGATCACTCCTAGCAGGACTGGGGGACCCTATTGGATACCGAGGATCAAACCCAGGTCAGCTGATTGCAAAGCAAGTGCCCTCCCTGCTGTATTATCACTCTAGCACAGCAAAGTCTCAACATTTTTGTTGTTTTTGGGGGGGCATACCGAGCTGCACTGAGGGCTTACTCCTGGCTCTGTCCTCAGGGATCACTATTAGTGGGGCTCATGGAACCACATGCCAGGTATTGAATCCAGGACAGCCACATGCAAAGCAAGTGATGTACCCTCCGTACTATACTATAGCTCTGGTTCTTTTAACTTTTTTTTTTCTTTTTGGGTCACTCCTGGTGATGCTCAGTGGTTACTCTTGGCTCTGAACTCAGGAATTACTCCTTGCAGTGCTTGGGTGACCATATGGGATGCTGGGGATTGAACCCAGGTCAGCTGCGTGCAAAGCAAATGTCCTACCCGCTATATTATTGCTCCAGCCCCAGCTCTGTTTTTTTTAAACTTACTTTATCTGCTGGAACTCTGACTTGTAAGCATATCACAGAAGCAGAGTCATCAAGTCACGTGCACCATGTGGTCACTAATCCATAGTGCTATTTTAGAATTAGGCCTTACTCCTATCATTTAAAAGGAACCAATCTTCTACAGCAAAGTAGGCTGGAAGAAAAATCTTCTCAACAAAGATATACAACTCAAATAAGTTGCTAAAGGGATCCTAAAGCCTTAACACATTATTTAGCATCAATTAATGCCATTTCTTGTGGGGGAAAAAAAACAGATGAAAAATTCTAAGTTCTGACTAATACTCAAATTCAAATTGAGTTATTACACATCCCAAGCAACAATCATTTCAAGGACCATCGGCGAATAAGGGCCAGTACTTAATCCGACAGACTCTGGAGACAGGCAGTCTCAGAAGACTGCCTAGGTCACTTGCCTCATGTGGCAGAAACCATCTGGCCACACTTTCAAAACATACTAACAAGTGGCACATAATAGACACCTTTGCTATCATAAATCTTGTTTAAAATGTAGTTGGTGTATGAGATGGGTGTGGATGGGTGTGAGGGAACTTGGGAACCCTGGTGGAAGGAGGATGATACTGGTGGCAGGGTTGGGGCTGGAACAAAATGAATCCAAAACCCAACTAGGAATAAGTGGCCCTTGCCTAGCACAGGGTTCAACCCCAAGCACTGCCAGGGTTATTCCTGAGCAGAGCCAGTAAGAGCCTCTGCACCTGAGCACCACATGATGTGGTTCAACCTCCTACCCCGTAATAACAAAATCAAACAAAACTTTATTTGCTTTTGCGATTTCAAAACACTCTGGCTGAGGAACAGTGAGAGAACAGCAAAGTGGGCCACCTTAAACAAAGAATGGATAAGCTCTGCCACAGGGATCACAGGCAGCACATCACCAAGAGCAAATAAGGACGTTCTTCTATTTTTTAGTTGTTTGCTTGCTCTTTGTTTTGGGGGCCATCACTATCACCAACATGCTCAGGGTTTATTCCCGGCTCTGTGCTTAGAGATGATTCCTGGAAGTGCTTAGGGACCACATGGGGTCCAGGGATCAAACCCAATCCCCAGCAAATCCCCTACCAGCTCTGGCCCCAAACAAAAATATTCTTATGAAAAGGGGAGTTCAGTTAGGCTTGTTTCTAGAAGTGGGATCAATGAACACACAAGGCCCTACTTAGAAATACAGAAAAGCTCAAATACAATATAATTCTCTGCCGCTGGCCAACATCTGTTATAAAAATATAGGTCTAACACAAAAGAATCTCAGTATTTGGGGACTAGAGTGATAGTACAGCAGATAGGGCATCTGCCTTTCATGTGGCCAACCTGTGTTTAATTCCCAGCATCCCTTGAGACTGGTCCCCAGATACCACCAGGACTGATCCCTGAGCAGAGCACCACTGAGTATGGCCCCCAGAACAAAACAAAGAATCTCAACATTTGATTTCCTTATGATGTGGACAAAAAATGAGTTATTCAAATAGAAATTACCTCTCAAGATCTTCCTTTTCCTCCTCTTGCTCACATTTTTCAGTCCCGAACTTGGCCTTCAGTGAGCGGGCTCTAGCAATGATCGCTTCCACATTAGTAATTTGATGGATGATTTCCTAACAATGCAAAAAGGATAGAGACAGTGTCAACTGGAAATTAGGGAGGAAAAAAAAAAAGCCATCGTCCTATAAGAATGCAACTTTAAACTGTTGCCAGCCAGGGGAAACGCAAGAACACTCGGCAGGAAAGATCCTGACACTACAATGAACTTACTTCCAACTTTTTATCTTCTGGATTGGGGAAGTGCAAAACTTTACTGGAATGGGATATTATCTGCTTTATAATCTTCTTAACTGAAGAAATGTTTTCCAGGTTTTCTATTTTGTAAAAAAGATCAAAATCATCGTTAGATGAAATGGGCAAAACAGGCTTTTGTTTAGAAATGAACAAGTGGCAAGATCAGGATATTTACCTTCTTCCTTTACCTTGAGTACGGATGCATGGATCACACACGGTAACAGGTGCCGAGCAAGGTCTGCGGGTTTCTGGACTGCCAGGTAGTGCAGCACCTGAAGGCAGCAAAATCATCCAAATGGTCAATGCAGCTGTTGAATCAATCAGCTATTTACACAAATAACAAGTCCGAAGGACCACTGGAATGACAGGAGAGGGCCGGAGAGAAGCCAACAGACTGTGGCCCATGCAAAGCATATGCTGCAGGAGACCAGCGACCGATACCCCGCACTGCCTGGCCTCCTGAGGACCTCTCCACGTCGCGAAGTGCTGCAATTGCTCTGGATTTCATCCAAGCGTCCCTCAGTGTAAGACTTTTCAACTTCCAGGGGCAAGTTCTGAGTTTTTGCGGCTGTTTTCCTTTTTTTATTTCTAATCTCATCACAGACATCAAGAGAACTGTTTATATTTCTAATATGGAAACCTACTGATGTTTCTTTGTACTCAATTTTTCAATGCTTCATTTGCAAAATAGGCTCGATGAGCGATGTGCAGCACTTTATGATATTTTTCAGAGATCAACCTTATTGTTTAGATCTTTCTAGAGTTCTATCTACTTGACTGTCTTGTACTGAGTGATGTGTTCAAAGTACTCATTATTAGTGTGTTTCTCAGAACCTTCAGTGGCTTCTGTTTTATATTTAGGTGGTTACCGTGCTATCAAGTGCAAAAAACATTAACAATAGTTATAAAACTTTTATATCATAAAGCATACTTGTTTATCTCACTTAGTGATTTTCTGCTTAATCCTACTTTGTATCAGGATTATACCCCCTGCTGGATAATGATCATTATGTACTTCCCATGATTTCCTTAAGAAAAATGTTGGGAGTGGAACTACTACATCAAAAGACACAGACCACTTAAAGGCTTCTGAGAGTTCAATGATAAGCACTTTTATAGAAAACATGCATGTTGTGGGCCCAAAGAGTCAGTGATAGAAGTCAAGAACCATGTTCTGGATCCCTGGCACTATCACCCCTGCACCACAGAAAAGCATGATTACCTGCACCCTGCACCCAAGTATGTGTGAGGTACTACAACTAATGCATGTGACCCCTGTCATTACAATAACAAAAAAGGAAAAGGAAAAGCAAAATGTCTTGCTACTGACACACACCAACACAATCAAACAAATTTAAAATAAAATATATGTAGGAGCCAGGAGATAGATAGGGTGCATGCCCAGTACTGCAAGACCAGAGTATTGTTAGGAGTGGTCCCCAGAGGCCCCTGAGCATTGTTTGGGAGGCCCACCCCCAGAATATTAAAATGAAAATATGTGAAAAATTAGCACAGCGGGTAGGGCGTTCGCCTTACAAGCGGCCAACATGGCCGACCCGAGTTCGATTCCTCCGCCCCTCTCGGAGAGCCCGGCAAGCTACCGGGAGTATTCGATATGCCAGACACAGTAACAACAAAGTCTCCAATGGAGACGTTACTGGGTCCGCTCGAGCAAATCGACGATCAACGGGAGGGCCTTTACCTTTACCTTTACCTTTATGTGAAAAATTAAACATGCATCTTAATTTTTAGTCTATTTCTAATTACTTTTAAAACTTTTTTTTTTTTTTTTGGCTTTTTGGGTTACACCCAGCAATGCACAGGGGTTACTCCTGGCTCTGCATTCTGCACTCACGAATTACTCCTGGCAGTGCTTGGGGGACCGTATGGATGCTGGGAATCAAACCCAGGTCGGCCACATGCAAGGCAAACACCCTACCCACTGTGCTTTCGCTCCAGGCCCTAGTTTTAAATCTTAAATGTGAATAGTAGACATGAAAAGGCTTGTTAAATTTTAACGTTGTGTTTCTGAAGAATGTTCAAAGCTCTCATGTCTAGCAGAGTGAGTTTTTAAAACAGTTTTATAGAAAGCATGCACGTTATGGGCCCAAAGAGTCAGTGGTAGAAAGCAAAACCCATGACTTGAAACCCTGGCACTACCATCTGTAAACCCCTGAACCCAGTTTTTAAAGCAGGCCAGAGTCCTGTTCTAATAGCAGGTAGGGTGCTTGCCTTTCATGTGGCCGACCTGGGTTCAATCCATGGCATCCCCTGTGCCCACCAGGAGGGATCCCTTAGCACAGGGCCAAGAATAAGCCCCAAGTACCACATGGTGTGGCCCCAGACCAAATAAAACAAAATGAACAATAATTGGTGTTTTCTTATTAAAAACTACAATTCATTACCTTTTCTGCTTCCCTCGTGTCATCGAAGAGTCTCCTTTGCCTTCTAGCAGGAATTGGCTTAGCTGTTTCCCAGGCTTCTACCCACATATTGCTTGGAATCTTCATTCTGGCGCTCAGTTCTCCTTTCAAAACTACATTCCCCTTTTCATCAACTACTTCCTCTTCAATATAATCCCGGGGTGAGTACCACCTCACAAAATCTTCTAGATAACATCCTGGATTAGCTGCCTAAATACAGCAAAACGCAAAATAAAATAAAATTAGTAATTGATAAACATGTGCCTAAAATCATACATTTCCTGTCACAGACACCCTATTCTAATCTATACCCTAGTCTAATCTTTATAGAACCTAAAAGGTGACATGGGCTTGGGTATGGATAGTCTTTACAAGTTTAGAAGTTAAAGCGCCAAAACTTTTGTTTTTGGCTGTCTCTGATTTATAGAAGAAAACATTTTGATTTGATGAATTTGGGAATAAAAACTTGATGAAAAGTGAAAGTAACTTTCTTAAACAGATCCTAAGTTATTAACATATTTCAAGTTACAGTATAATAACTCAATATTTAGAAAAGTATCAGGCCAAGTACACTAAAATAATATGCAACATGACCAGAATAATAACAGTGATGAAAAACTTCTGCCCTTTTTTTCTATAAGAAATCAGTACTGGTATCAGCTAACCTCAAACATGTTCTACCCAGCCACCAATAAACATGCTTTATGTAACAAATCACTATCATAGGGGCTGCTCTTGTACTGTTAAGAAATTGAAATACAAACAATTGTTTTTCAGGCTTATAAAACCAAACCAATTAAAATTTTACTTGTGGATAATTCCATAAAATTAATGATACTGTACACCAAATTCCCTTAAGTAATTCTACTTTCAAGTCTGGAAAAATGTAGAAACTTCAGTGTTAGTAGTAAGCATGGAGACTGTTTTTGCATTCAGCAATGTATCAGTAGAATAGTAAGATAAATATATGTCAAGTAATTATCTTACTGTTAAATACTCAAAATATGTATGCACCTACATTTAAACAAAGATTTTTGGTTATATTTTTCTAACATAACATATTCTTTCTGCTATGAGTACTATATCTAATTTTCTGTTACAGTAAGTAATACAGGGAATTACAAAAAGTTAGGCGGGCTACATATATATACTTTTCAAATTATACCAAAAAGAAAACTGACATGATGAGAAAGATGTCATAGATGTGAGGAACGAAAGTGCCAACTTCTCCTCATTGAGTTCACCACCTGCCAGTTTAATCTCCACCAATTTAGGAAATCCCCTAATTTGGAGGGACATAAAATAAGGGGGCTCCTCATTGAAGTCAAAAACAAATTTTTAAGATACATCATAGCAGCAAAGAGCTGCTAACTGTAATGGATAAAATGACTGGATTCAATACAAAGGACTCAATACAAAGATCAGGATATTAACCAGGCAATCTAAAGACCACATGAAATCATCTCAGGAAAGGACAGAGTCCTGGAGGGCAGAGACAAACTTGAAGAAAGAAAATAATATTTGACTCCTGCACTATAGATTGTGTTCAAGAAAGACACTTCACATCAGAATTCTTTCTAGTGTCCATACAGTACTAGGCTGAATATGTAGCTATAAGAAGTCAAGGTCCACCTCCATGACAGTGTATTCTTTCTGTCATGACAGGCATTATTCCAAGAGCATGTATATGATTCGACCCTGTCTTTATTGAACTGTAAGCTGTAGGTAACTCAGGTACTTAGCAGAGTTCTCAGAACTCTCCCAAGGGTGCCTGAACAACAAGTTATCTTTACTCAAAAAAGAAAGGTGGCCAAATGAAATTTATAGCACAGCAGGTAGGGCGTCCGCCTTACAAGCGGCCAACATGGCCGACCCGAGTTCGATTCCTCTGCCCCTCTCGGAGAGCCCGGCAAGCTACCGAGAGTATTCGATATGCCAGACACAGTAACAACAAAGTCTCCAATGGAGACGTTACTGGGCCCGCTCGAGCAAATCGACGATCAACGGGAGGGCCTTTACCTTTTACCTTTTACCTTACATGATTTCCACATTGGGGCAAAAATCTAAGTTCAATTTTAAATACAATCTATTCTCTAAGCAAAACACTTTAGGTGTAATGTAGGTACCCAGGTTAGTTCAAAAGAGTCTAAGAAAAAAAGATTTTGCTGAAGCAACAGTTTTCTTGCTTGTTTTGATGGCACACCTGGCAGTGTTCAGGGTTTACTCCTGGCTCTGTGCTCAGATGACCATTTGGGAGCCAGGGATAGAACTGGGGCTGGCCCTGTGAAAGGCAAGTGCTTTATCCCGGCACTAGCTCTCTGCCCTTGAAATAACACTTTTAAAGGAATGTTACAGAACCTTGATATGAGGAGACAGTACATTTCTACGGTGAAAGCTTTTATAGTTCAAACTTTCGATTTCCTCTTGTATGTGCATCTGCACGCGCACTGGAGCAGGACAAGAACAGATGAGAATGATGGCTGTGCAGGGTCAGATGAACAACAGTTGCTGAGGAAACCAGCACTTCCTGCTGTGCAAACACACCCTAAGCGGATTCCCTTCCCTACCCCTTTGATTTAACATATGCTCGGAGAGTCAAAGTGACTCTTCTTTATCCACCAAACCAACTATTTGTTTCAGAGTAACACATCTCTCCCTTGTCTTCTAGGCAAGACTGACAGATTTTTCTGTTCGTTTTTCAACTCTAATGAAAACATGCTGCTCTTCAGAGGTTTACTAAAGATTTTTCTTTGTAGTTTAAAGATGGGGGAAAAAATCTGGGAATGAAAAAGCTCCTTTTTATTGCCAATCAATTGCACTAGTAGGGAAGATGAAAGCGCCTTGGTTTTTTCCTGGGTTGTTTATATAGAAGAAGAAAACTCCGCTGGCCTACATAGCACAAAAGCTTCACAAGCTTTTTGAGACCATCACAAGCAGCATCAGAGGAAGGAGAAAAACCTGGACATGGGAAACAAAGGGAGAGGAACTCAAACCCAGGCCCACTGGATCTGAGCAGTGGGGTGATAAAATCTAACAGGAAAGAGGGATAGTTTAGGAGAGAGGACAATAAAATTTATTAAAAGAGTGCCCTGCTCAGACTTACACAGTGGAGGACCCCAAAGAAAGAGACCTGCATAGCACAGTCCTGGAGCCTTTTATTGTGTGTCTCTGGGCTGCCTAAGTGGGAAGTTTATGTTTCCTACAGATTAATTCTGGGAGGTGAATGAGCAGGAGACTTGGAGCTAATTCTGGGGAGTGAGTGAGTTGTATATATAAATGTTCTGAGTCAATCATGAGAAAGGAATGAGATGCCAATCCCAGGAAGAGAGTGGCTGGGCGAAGTCTAGGAACTGAACAGCAGAACTGAATGATACTAGGGCACCTACAGAGTCTCCTGGGTACAGGTAGTTGTGTGGGCAGGAGACAGCACAGCTGGCCGTGCTCCCGGTCTGTCAGCATTTTAGATATGGGAATTAAGTGAGGCACCTTTTTAGGGGGGTAAGCGAACCACTTCAGGAGACAGTTAAGAGCAGAGAATCAGCAATGACCATCCACCCGAGTTTTTGCTCTGTTCTGTTTTTAATGAAGTTACCTGTGCATTTAAAAACAAATGTCCTGAATTCATTCCTGTATTAGTAAATCAAATGCTACCATTCTCTGAAACCTCCATGTTCTAGATATAGGTCTCTATGTAAGCCTACATTTCTCTCCTCACGGTAGCAATTCTATGCATCCTTAATGGCAACACCTCAGAGAAACCATGGTCCAATCATGCCTCAGACTTTAAATTTATGTGAACTCACAATATAATCATGATTTATCGTCCTCTTCCCACAATCTCAGTATACTGTAACTGAGGACAGACTTTGTACAGTGAAAATCACAAAGTAGACACTCAAAGATTGTTGAGTGAAGTAATCTATGCTAAATCCTAAAGATTTCCTAAAAGTCTTGTATAAAAAGCGTTCCTTTAACAAGTACAACAAGGAAGAAAACGTTCCGGTGCACATCTACAAATGATTCGGTTCTCACTCTCATTCAAAGACATTTAGTGGGTTTGGTCTATAAACTGAAGAAGTCTGAATGTATCCTTTTGAGAACGGCAGTTGGGTGGTGGTGTAAGGAGACTGAAATCAACACATTTAATACAAAGACATTCAGCATTTACACCAATTTATAGAGTGGCATTCACAGCTTCATCCCAGAATAGCTTAAAATAGATTCCAAAGATCTGACACTGTGACCCACCTTGAAAGACTCCATGTCTGAGAGCAGACAGGCACTCTGCATGCGCGCGCGGAGGTGAGCCCCTTCTGCTGATGTGCCTAATTTAGCGAGAACCTCCGACTGCTCTTCCAGCAGATCTTCTGTCATAGGTGCCGGCTCCTGTGGAGCACAGAAGGACAAAGCCCAGGAATAGCCTTTTTTTAGACAAAGCAAAACTATAAAATAGAAAAAAGACAACAGCTATTTCAACTCATAACAGTCACAAGATAGGTATTTAAAAGTATTCAGAGACACTTGTAAGGTTTTATATATATATATATATATATATATATATATATATATATATATAGTAACAAATTAAGAAGACATATACTCTCAGTATCCCTAACCCCCAGTAGTTACAATTATGCTTTCCTTGATCAGGAATGACAACGAAAACATAGGAGGAATTTGGGGCACTTAGACATTCTCCTTCATATGAATAAGAAGTGAAGTCCTAATGGTATTTTTATGCAAGCCATCCCAGTTTGTAATACAGTTTTAATCACTAATGAGAAGGAAAAAAAAAATATATATATATATATAAAAAAGACAAACAAATTCTAATCAAAGTCTCCAACTAAATTTTACACTGGGGAATTTATTTTGTATTTATGTTCCAAAGATATTCTCATTACAATTCACTTAAGAAGCTGACACTTTTTGTTTGAGGAATAAAATACATTGCATATTTTAGTAATAATCCCAAGGTTTGTTTTTATTTATCTCTTTTTGGTGGTGGTGGAAGTGGGGGGCTCATGCCACACCCAGCATAGCTCAGAAGTGATCTTTGCTCAGTGTTTAGGGGACATATGCAGTGCTTGGGACTCAACTTGGGTCAGCCACATGGAAGGCAAATGCCTCATCTCCTGTAATACACACATACACACAATATATATATTAAATTTATTTATTAAATTAATAAACAAAGCCCTGATGATCCAAAGTTTAAAGGAGGTAAGGCTAATCTAAAGGAATATACAACCAACTACAGAACCATAAAAAGAAATGACTTCTTATAGCCGAAAACATTTTAAAACTGTTCAGAGGGGCATAAAATTATCTGAGAACTGATTCATTCCACTTTATGTTCAAAATAAGAAAATTAGCTACAGTGAACCCGTCCAAACCCAAATTGTGTCAAGTTTCCTACCACCCTCTTGGATTTCCTAGAAGAGGAGAATCAATGGACCTAAAATCAAATTCTGCTAAAATAAGCTTTTCTAATCTGAGATATTAGGAGAAGACCTAGCAGAGGCATTTTAAAGCATGTTGTTACTAAATAGATTTCCCTTAGATTGTAAGAACTGACTATAAATCCCATGTATAACAGGATTCTCAACTGCAACTGTTCCCTCTACTATGCCTGGAGTATCATTCCATCTAATAATAAACACACAAAGGCCAGAGTGATACACAGAGGGTGGGGCTATTGCCATGCACACAGCCCATCTGGGCTCTATCTCCAGTATCCCATATAGTTCCCTGAGCCCTGTCAAGAGTGACTCCTGAGTGCAGAGACGGGAGTATCCCCTGAGCGCAGAGGATAGCCTCCAAACAAACAAACAAAAAAACCAAGAAAAATAACAAAACAAAAACAAACCCCACACCACTCAGTTTAATAACAGGTCCCTTTATAAAAAGCAGGCTAAAATCTACGGAAGCAAAACACTTCTCAATTTTAGAAACAGTGAATTTAAAACACCAATAGTCTAAATTTCAGACCTGAAGGGGATTTGAAAAGACTTCCCTATACACAATACAACTGTATCCTAGCAGGATGGAGTTGTATAAACAATGAGTTTTCTCAAATTAAAACTCAAAGAGCCTGCCCATGACCTACCTGGGTAATAGGAATGTAGAGAGGTTCTCCATTGTGTAGCAGTGTAAGTTTCCCGTGCTGTCGGAGACGTCCTTCCGGCTTTAAGTTTGCCATCTCCTTCGGCCCTCCTTTCTTGCCACCCTCTTGTCCATTTCCCTTAAGATCTTCAGTATCGCTTAAGCATTCAAAAAATTCTTCTTCACTGTCACTCCAAGAATCCCAAGACTTCCCCACCTCTCCCTTTTCTTTATCTGCGTCTTTGAGACTATCTTTTGCAGCATCCCCAGAGAATGCTTGAGCAAGGTTATCTGAAGCACCTGTCTTTCTTCCTTCGTCTCGAGTCCTCTTTCTCTCAATACAACAATTTAACATCTTAAAGAAAACACAAATGACACTTCTATTTAGACACAGTAAAATAAAAATCTGTTCACTGCTTATTTAATTTTCATTCTCCACTCTTTCTTTGTACCATATCATAAATAACAAAGACTTGTAAGTTTGCCAAAAATAGCACAATGAGATAGCCTATAATATATTATTACATTCATATTTTAGAATAAAGTTGGATTAGGTGGGTACCAATTTATACACTGTCACTGGGAAATCTTTACCTGTAGTTTCTGATGCAGTAAACAACATCTTAGATCCGGGGGTCCGCTGGCTAACCTACCAAAGGAAAAGGAACAGAAAGGTTAGTTTTAATAAAATTAATTCAGGTGAGCCTATTTTTATACTACTGTAAATTTTAGCCATATTGACAGAAAATAAAAGACCAGATTGCTGTAGGTAAGGTAAATGAGTTGGAAGGAATAAGACTAAAAGAGCAGAATTTTTTATTCTCTCTCCTCATACTTCATAATCACCTATAGCAATTATATGATATTCCAAAGCCATGACAGTATAGTAGTGATGTGCTAACTCAAGCTAACTCAGGGTCTATGAGATAACTAGAGAGGCAAGAGCATGTACTTTGTGTATGTAGGAGGACCGGGTTTGATCCCTGGCACCACACGGTTTCCTGAGCATCAAGCCATAAGTAGCTCCTGAGCACTGCCAGGTATGGTCCCAAAATAAAAAAAACTGAAAAAAAGGAAAAAGTCTCTAAATCTACCTTAGAAAGTAGCCAGCACACAGTAATAATTCTTTCCTTCTTTGTAAGTGAAAGAAGTTTATCTGAGAAATAAAGGGAAGGAGAGAGAGAAAGATACTCGAGAGAGAACATGGGCTTCTCCAGAGTGGGTAAAAACAGTCCACACACTAGTTTTTCACATCACACAAAACAGATTATTATTAAGGTGGTGGATTTTCACTATAAAAAAAAAGTATGCCCATCTCTGTTTTATGTCATTTTCCCCTTTTTCAAGGGGAAGCCAGGACTGCCTCCAGTTCCAAACCAATAGAGTTCCCTGAGATCAGGGAAACTCCTCATATTCAGTGTGCTGTTGGATCTGCAGTAAATTACAGAGCAAACTGTAATTTATAACCAATTTATAAACAAATCAATTTTAACTGTAAGTTATAATAGATAACTTATGTAATAGATAACCAAGCGATAATCCAGCTAAGCAGAGACTAGTAACTATAAAACAGAGGCTGGAGCAATAGCACAGCAGGTAGGGAATTTGCATGCGGCCAAACCAGGTTCAATCCCCGGCATTCCATATGGTCCCCGGAGCACCACCAGGAGTAATTCCTGAGTGCAGAGCCAGGAATAATCCCTGAGCGTGGCTGGGTGTGATTCAAAACCCTAAAAGCAAGTAACTAAATAAATAAATAATAAAAGGGGGGGGGAATAAAATAACAAGACTAACAAATATTTTTTATTTGATTTTGGGGTGACACCCAGCCATACTCAGTGCTAACTCCTTCCTCTGCACTCAGAAATTACTCTTGGTGGTGGCCAGGGGACCATATGAGATGCTGGGAATTGTACCCGGGTTGGCCACAGGCAAGGCGCCCTACCCACTGTACTATTGCTTCATCCCTAATTAACATTTTTATTTGTTCCTTTTTTCTTTCTTTGGCAGTGCTAAAGATCAAACCCAGTGATTTACACACCAAAGCATTAGTCCTATTACAGTCACAGATCTGGTCCTAAGAGTAAACCTGCCTGACCAATTGCTGTTTTGTATTACTTACACACTGATGGAAGAATAGCAATCTACATGATATAACATATATGGGAACTCAACTCTTCTATTTAAGTGAAATGTCAATATAAATTATAGCCAAAAATTTACATTGCTCTTAATATCTGAAAGAACTCTAAAGTGATTTTTCCCTATAACTGAATAAAGTTTATTCTCTAGAAAAGATTAGAAAATAGAGGTTATTAGAAAAATGAAAATAAAATTTAAATAGTTAAGAAACACTATTAAGAGCTACCTGTATTTGTTTCAACTACTTTCATCAGTATAACAACAAGCATTTCTATAAATGTAATACCGGGGTGACAGAGATAGTACAGGGCTTAAGGTACCTGCCTTGCACATGGCCAAACCTAGATCAATCCCTGGCATGGTCCCCCAAGCACCATCAGGAGTGATCTGGTGCCCAGAGCCAGGAATAAAGCCTAACACTGTGAGGTGTGGTCTGAATGCTGCTTTGTTCCCTCCTAGTACCCCATTCCGAAATACAATACCGGAACTTTGCATTACAGAAATATGTCAATTAACCATTCCTTTACTTTGATCCTTAGTCATCTCTTTACTCCTTATCCTTACTCTTCTCCCCAATGAAAATTAGCTACAGTGAATCCGTCCAAACCCAAATTGTGTCAAGTTTCCTACCACCCTCTTGGATTTCCTAGAAGAGGAGAATCAATGGACCTAAAATCAAATTCTGCTAAAAACAAGAATTCTGCTATGAAACTGGAAACTGAAATCATTACCCTGGAATCAGAAAGTTGTTTTCCCATCTGAAACGCATCTCAAGAACAAATTCCTGCCAGAGGTGTGCCACTCCTTTCAAACCTCCATGGTAGAAATTGATCATGCAAAGGCACAAAGCCAATTTGTATGTTAAACTGTCAGAGGGTGCAGATTTGAACTGATTGTAGAGATTCTAAATTTAGAAAAATAGAAATAAAGCAAACCTTGTTAAAAACATTTATATCTAAAATCAGAAATTGTACAAAGAAAGATTTTAATACTAAAATAAACCCTTCCTACCAAAACTAGCTTTAACCAAAGGTCTATTAAACTACTGCTAAAATTGTAGTTGAGGAATTCAATGCATTTGAAGACTTCTATAAGAATGAAGAAAGTGAGGTATAGTTTTGCAAGGCCACTTAGCTTTCACTTTCTTGTTGAGCTTTTGCCAAACTTCCTATGTTGTTTTAAAGTCCTTTTGTTACAAATGAGTAAACTTGTGAAAATCCAAGCATAAAATACAAACCAAAACTGTCACTGTCACTGTCACTGTCCTCCCGTTGTTCATCGATTTGCTCGAGCGGGCCCAGTAACGTCTCCATTGGAGACTTTGTTGTTACTGTGTCTGGCATATCGAATACATCACGGGTAGCTATGACGTTGAAAATGTAAATGTTCTGCTTTTTCTCACTTCATGAAATCCAATAAAGTCTACTGTACAGAGTTTGATATATCTCTACACCTGTCCTCTGAACACCCATTTTTCAATTTATCAAAGACTTGAATAAAAAAAAGCGAATATTTTATGTCATTTTATACATTCTATTGCACGAAGGAGTTTTCCACTCATAATAAGGGGACTAATTCTGAAATACTCTGTTGCAAACTGTAACAGAATTTCATTAAAAGTCAAAGGTGAAAGAAAAATTTTCAAATATTTATACTTTTAAAAAATTGCTTTCAGGAAAAGTTCTTTTCATCTAAATATGTATAAATGTCTGGGTTCTTTGGCAAGTCATTATTTGAGTGGAGATTACGTTATCAAAGCTTTCTAGGGTGACTTTTTCAAAATTTTTATTAGTGAAACACCATGAGGTACAGTTGTGGACTTAGAAATTTTTGTGCTTGGGTTTCAATTACACAATGATCAAGTACCCATCCCTCCACCAGTGCCCATTTTCCACCACCAGGGATCCCAGTGTCCCTCCCACCTCCCCAACCCCCCCATCCCACCCTGCCTCTGTGGCAGGGCATTCCCTTTCGTTCTCTCTCTTAAGGTGACTTTTAAAATAAGACATTTTTACTGTTGAACTAGAAATATAGCAAGCCCATATGAATTGAATGCATCTTAATTATTTTACTATTGAACTTCAAATCAGCTTACGTATTCCTCGCCATCTGATGGAGGATTACTGTTGTCTGTTAAGGGTGCTTCTAATGGTTTCTCAGAAGCAGCATCAGGGAACAGGAACTTAAAGAAAAAAAAAATCATGTTTTTAAAAACAAATTTTCCTACTTAGTGTATTTTTTTCTCTTTAGTTTCTTATGAATTATAAAGCTGTTATTTTGTTTTTTAAAAAACTTATATAGATACCAGATACCCTAATGGTTTTACTGTTAAAAAATTAGGAATGTCTTTAATGGTTTCTGTACTACCTCACGTTTCCTTTATTATTCAAAAACATTCAATACATTGTTACAGTAACTAGCCGAATTCAGAGCTTATTTATTTTTTTAAAAAAAGGTTTTTTTACCATCTGGTTCTGTTAGCTAAAGATAATGCAAAACTAAAATCTTTTTTCTATTATTTTAAGATAATGCAAGGCCATTAATTTATTTTAAAAAATAATAAAAAATAAAAGGTTTATCATTATAAAAAGTAATACCATAAAAATTATAGAAGAAAAAATTTGAATATACCTATATTCACAAGGCTCTGGTTAAGCTGTCCAAAGGTGCTTATACATGAAATATTAAAATATACTCTTTAAGACACAATTTTATCAGAAACAACTAAAAAGTCTGATGCATTTTACATTGCAATGACTACTATCCTTTTTCCAAAATATGTGTATCTGTGTGTGTGTGGTTAGCAGTGGTTAAGAAATATTTATGAAAACCTATCTTTATAATAAGAATAAAATCTGAGGGGTCTGCTCTATAGAAATTTATTTTTAGCACTTTTATCACTATTCCAATTTTTTGTTGATATTACTGACTTATAACTCCTTTTATTTTATATATACCTATATATTATAGAACGTTTCAAGATTTTGGAAAAAATCAGAAGTACTATTATGTGCCAACTGCCACTACTAGCCACTCATTTACAAATATTATTCTTATACTGCTAAGTGTAAACTAATCTCACTGTATATAGAAACACAACCTAAAAATCTGATTAAGAATTTTATTTCAAATAAATGTCAGGGATAAGACTCGGTCACGGTCACGGTCCTCCCATTGTTCATTGATTTGCTCGAGCGGGCCCAGTAACATTGTGAGACTTGTTACTGTGTTTGGCATATCGAATACATCACGGGTAGCTTGCCAGGCTCTGCCGTGCGGGTGGGATACTCTCAGTAGCTTGCCGGGTTCTCCAAGAGGGGCGAAGGAATCGAACTCGGGTCGGCCATGTAGGCTTCGTGCAAGGCAAACGCCCTACCGCTGTGCTATCGCTCCAGCCCAGGGATAAGACTATTATCAAATTTCTAAAACCTGATATAATATCAAATTTACTATCAAAAATGAAATATCAAGTTTATTATCAAGACTTGATCTGATATCAATTTTAAGAATAAGAATAATATCAAGTTTCCTTTCATTGCACTCTATTCTTGAAAGTTTTCCCCACGATTATCTTAATATACCAAGTCTCAGATATATAATTATAGCTATATTTATGGTAAGAATTACTATCATTGATCAAGGCTCATAATATACCAGGTAGGGTGTAACAGAATGTCTTTGAATCCTCAAAACAATCTTCGTAAGCTAAATTACTAGCATTTATAGATGAGGTAACTGACGTAAAATGGCTTATTCATAGTCACACAGTAAACCATGATTAAACTCTGGTGTACTGACTCCCACACTAAGTCTGTTCCGCCACACCATACAGAGGAGTCATCCTAGACCTGTCTAGTACTCACTGATAAAGTTGTATTTGGACTGCAGTGAACAGTCAGTTTCCAAAAATACAAATTCTGATCATGCTGACCTGCTTAAAACAGCATTAAACTTCTGGGTTTAGTGCTTCAGCATGGAAAGTTACCTGCCATTTTTCCAGCCTCATGTTTGGCCCTGAAAACTAACTTTTAACACATCAAACTGTTCAACATCCTTTCTCAGGCTGTTACTACTCTTTGGCTTCTAAAGAATGTTCAAGATGCAGCTAGATGTTTCTATCAAGTCTTCCTGATGTTGCGTTGGTGGTACAGTGGCTAGCATAGCTGCCTTCCAAGACTTCTGTATACTTTTTATGGAGACAGATGCATCTGTGGTAGGTTCTAACATGCCACATGGTACGTAACCACCGCTTACTTTCCTTATATTGCACGGATAGAAATTCTCTGAAGGTAGAGACTCATTCACTCATTTTATATTCCCAATCTAATGCCTGCACATAGAAGGGACTGAATATATAATGAATATGTGAGTACGCAGAGACATGTATGTAGTTACCAAAAGAATGGTGTTAAGGACATCGTTATTCAGCGGTGACTCATCTGCACCTCTGTGTTTCCGTATTTTCTTCTTCGCAGTATGTACCATGTTTGAAACTGACAATTTATGAATAGGAACTGGTGCTGGCTCTGTCAACTTTGACAAAGCATGAGATATATCAACGTCTATAAAAGAACAGAAATGAATAGACATTATATCACTAATTGTAACAGGTTAGAATGATGAGTAAACGGGTAATTATACAGAATATGCTAAGTCACTGTTTTTACTAGTATTACCTAGTCTAAGAATCACAAAAAATTAATACTCATATTAGCTTTACAAACACAAATAACTGACAACAATATGGCAAATTATTTCTGCCCAGATTTCAAAAACACCTCTAATCTGGCTTATCAAAATTATACTGTATTTATTTTTTGGGTTTTAAACCAAACCCAGTAGGGCTCAGGGGATATTCCTGAACAGAGCTTCGGAGTGATCCCTGGGGTTGCTCAGGGGACCATATATGGTGCAGGGGCACATATTTTATGTGTGGGTATGGAGTGATAGCACAGCAGGTCAGGCGTTTGCCTTGCACACATTCGACCCAGGTAGATTTCCAGCATCCCATGTGGTCCCCCGATTAGGGCAAGGATGAGGAGAACCAGGTTGGAAACGGCTGCAAGCAAGGCAAGGCTTTAACCCCTCCAGCCCTCAAAACAGCTTGTTAAATGTGCCTAGTCTTTTAAGATCTTTTAAGATCAGGATTTGCTTGAGGATAAATGAAAAGCTGTCTAGTCCATCAAAACTTGCTTCTCCATTTTGGGTGCTATGGTTTGCAAAAGAGGCATTGAGTGGCAATCATGTGCAGTCTACAGTCTACTTTCAGGATGCATCTCTAGCACCCAAAAGGAGAGAGAAAACAAAAGGGAATGCCCTGCCACAGGGGTGGGGTGGGATGGGGGGGGGTGGGCGGGTGGGAGGGCAACTGGGATCATTGGTGGTGGAGAATGGGCACTGGTGGAGAGATGGGTACTCAATTATTGTATAACTGAAACTCAAGCACAAAAAATTCTAAGTCTACGACTGTACCTCATGGTGTTTCACTAATAAAAAATTTTAAAAGTACTTGCTTCTACAACTTAATTCAAAAGAGAAAATCGATGATAACATGCTTTTAAAATGTATAAAGAAAACTGGATAGGGGGCCGGAGTAACAGTACAGCAGGCAGGACATCTGCCTTGCATGTGGCTGACCTGGGTTTGATCCCCAGCATCCCATATGGTCCGCCAAGCACCGACAGGAGTAATTCCTTAGTGCAGAGCCAGGAGTAACCACTGAGCATCGCTGGGTATGACCCAAAAAAACAAAACAAAACCAAAAAAAAGATTGGTTAGGCATTCAAAAATAATTTTTAAAAGTTACCTCTCCCTTCTTCCTCAAATGTGGATCGTCCAAGAATCTCATCAGTTGATTCCTTTCGACGGCAAATTTTAAAAAATTCAGTGACAAAATCACCTACATTGGAAAAAAAAAGTTACTCACTTTACGCTTAAAAATATAAAATACACATTTTTTCACACATGCTTTTAACTAAGGTATATTAGAAAAATAACCCATTCAGTTATTCTACAAAAGACAAATTCCATTTCAAAGGTAGGCTTGCTCTTCATTGCTGCCCCAGAATGATTTTTCCCTTAATAACCCTACTAGAATGAGAGTAAAACAACTGTACCTAATAATACTGATTAGTTATTATGTGCCTAAATAAGACAAATAGTATCTATTCTCATTACGTAATATTAGTATACCTATGCTAAAGTCTTTTTCCATAACCGTAACCCAACAGAATTTTGAATTCATTAAAAACAGAATTTAAAAAAGAGGATTAAGACATCATGAGAAAAAATGAAGAGAAGAAATGAAGAGAAACATCTTCGAAGAAGAAATACAAATGGCTAAAGGCACATAAAAAAATGCTCTCCATCATTAATCATCATGGAGATGCAAATCAAAACAACAATGAGATAACTCACACCACAGAGACCAGCACATATCAAAAAGAAAAAGACCAGTGCTGGAGCTCATTCATTGTTGGTGCCAATGCCAACTGGTCCAGTCTTTTTGGAAAACAATATGAGCATTTCTCAAAAAACTAGAACTTGGGCTTTCATACAACCCAGCAATACTACTCCTGGGAATACACCCTGGGAGCAAAAAACAAACAAACAAACAAAAAACCCACAGAGGAAATGCCATCTGTACTTCTATGTTCATTGCAGCACTATTCACAATAGCCAGAATCAGGAAACAACCTGAGTGCCGAGAACAGATGAGAACAGATAAAGAAACCATAGTACATCTACAATACCATGTAGCCACCAGGAAAAATGAAGTTATGAAATTTGCTTATAAATAAATGGACATGGAAAGCATCATGCTGAGTTAAATGAGTCAGCAGAAGGAGAGGGACAGACATAGGATGAGAACACTCATTTATGGGATAGAAAAAGCATAGTATGAGATATTACTCAATGACAGTAGAAACAAAAGAAAAGAGGACTGGTCCACAGTTGGAAGCTTGCCACTACTGGGGCAGGGTGGAGGGTGGGATGGCAGAAGTCAGTTAAGATAGAGAAGGGACCACTATGACAACAATAGTTGGAAATGATCACTCCGGATAAGAACTGAATGCGGAAAGTAGGTAAAGGGATGTACATGATAACCTTTCAGTACCTACACTGCAAATCATAATGCCCAAAATAGGGGGGAGAGAGAAAAAGAGGTGGGGGGGGGGCGGCAGGAGGAAGGCAGGGAGGGAGGGAGGGAGGGATTTTTTGGGGGTCACACCCCGTGATGCACAAGGTTTACTCCTGGCTCATGCACTCAGGAATTACTCCTGGCAGTGCTCAGGGGACCACAACACAGAAGTAAGGAAAAAGGCAAAAAGGGCTCTAACTACAATGGAAAATACAGACTGTTACTTAGGAAGTTTAAAAAAAAAAACGGGGGGGGGGGGTAACATAAAAGTAATAGTAGAATAAAACTCATATTATTAGAAAAAACCAGAGACTTCTGATGTACAACTTGGTTAAAACAAAAAAAAAAAAAGAGATCCTGTTAGTATTATTCAACAGTTAGTAATCGAAGGGCTCAATGAAATTGGCAAAGACTTTTTTTTTTAAGGGTTTAACTGGAGACACAAATGCAATCTATATATGTATGTGTGTGTGTGTGTGTGTGCGCGCGCATGCGTCCGTGTGTGTGTGTGTGTGTGTGTGTGTGTGACCAAATGCTTTTTTGAGTATACGAAATGAAATATAAAGAATGCACTGAATGCTCTGATTTAGAAGGCAGATATCCAGATAGGTGATATTCAGGAAAAGAACACAATAGATCTTACCTAGCAAGCACTGGGGATTATCAGCTTTTCGAACTCTAACAGACCAATGAGGAGCCTGGAGAGGATCCAAATCACTAAAATGTAAAACAATAAATTAAAAAAAAAATAAAATAAAATAAAATGTAAAACAATACACATAAGATTCTAGTTATAACAATCCCAAGAGTCATGAATTTATCAGTCTAATTTAAACATATATAATAGACCAAGAAATCCATTCTGCATTCTAAATTTGCTGATAATATTCAAATGCATAAGGTAACTGGATATATTATAAAAATAAATTTAAAAAAATTTTTTTAATTTAAGATTTTGGAGGCGTTAGGAACTGAGGGTCACCCATATGTGAGCTGTGCTTGCTCTACTAAAGAGCCACATCCTTAAACCCCACAAAATTAATCTTGAAAAGTCAAAGTTCTTAAAGCACAAGGCGAAAAAAAAAACAATAATAATAAAGTACACACAAAATTATTCTGATTAGGGATTTTACACTGATAGCTTAGTGAGAAATTACATTTTAGGAATAAAGGGAATTATAAGTACAAATGTGTAATAACAGACCCTCAAATACAAACAAGGTTGCAGTAGTCTTTGTTTAAAATTGATAAATGATCTGATTAAGAAAACTCATGTTCTGGGAAGGGGGGCGTTTCGGTCCGCCCTTCACGCCCTACTGAGGCCACCAGTTGCCCCCACGAGCGGCTCTCCAGCACGGCCACAGCCCCAGAAGCACAATGACCTAATGCAGAACCCAGCAGCTTGGAGCAGAAAAGTGAAAGGACTATGCGTTGATCCAGGCAATCATTTCTGCCCAGAGGGGAAAGGGTGTTGCTCCCTTCCGCCCTCCTCCCTCTGGAAAGAAAGATGGCGGCCACATGGGAGCCTTGTGGACAGCAGGTATGAGCCGGGGGTGTGGGGGCGACTAAAACCTCATGGGAAGGGGGGCGTTCTGGTCCGTCCTTCACGCCCTACCGAGGTCACCAGTTGCCCCCCGCGAGCGGCTCTCCAGCACGGCCACGGCCCCAGAAGCACAAGGACTTAATGCAGAACCCAGCAGCTTGGAGCAGAAAAGTGAACGGACTCTGCATTGATCCAGGCCATCAAGTCTGCCGGAGGGGAAAGGGTGTTGCCCCATTCGCCCTCTCCTCTTTGGAAAGAAAGATGGCGGCCACATGGGAGCCTTGTGGACAGCAGGTATGAGCCGGGAGTGTGGGGGCGACTAAAACCTCATGGGAAGGGGGGCGTTTCGGTCCGCCCTTCACGCCCCACCGAGGCCACCGGTTGCCCCCCGCGAGCGGCTCTCCAGCACGGCCAGGACTCCAGAACACAGAAACCAATTTCTTAACTATCTGACTTTCAGTAGAAATACTTCCAGGGTCAATAGGTAAAAGAGCAGAAATCCAAAACCAACATTTAATTCTTGAACCCAGCCGTAGAAAGCAAATCACTTCACAATGCTTTTTCAGCATGTCTGATTTGGGGGGGGGGGGGGGGTAAACTCTAAATAATAGTGGTGAATCTTTTATTGAAACAATGAATCTAATCAAAGCAGATAGAGTGTTAACTAGAATTCATCTGCTTCACAGGGACGGGGAGGGGTGGGGGGTGGGGTTTTATTGGGGTTCTTCATGGTAAAAAATAAGTATTGGTAAAGGGAAATGTGTTTGATATTTACATGACTGAGACATAAACCTGAAAGCTTTGTAACCTTTCCCACAGTGATTCAATAAATAAATTAAAAAAATAAAAAAAAAAAAAAAAAAAAAAAAAAAAAGAAAACTCATGTTCTATTTACTATCAGAAAACAAACTTATTTTAATTATGAAAAAAGTGTCCTTTTCTACCCTATTCTGCATTTTAAAAACAAGAGGAACTACTAAAATTGTATTCCTATCTTTGGTTTCCCTAGCCAATTCTTACAGTAATTTTCAAGTTTTTTCCACTGCACAATAGTATATGACATATTCTTATTTATCGTACTTAACAATCACACTATTCCTATACATTCTGGTGTTCATCATCTCTTCAATGCACCTCATGAAATGCTTCTAACTGGGTAAGCAAAATGCAATAAAGTTATACACTGAATTCCAAAGAAAATACTTTTTTTTTTTTTCCGCAAAAACCAAGATTGACGTTGTTCATTATTCTTTGAACAATGAGATGACAGTGCTACAGTGGGTCACACCCGAGGATGCACAGGGGTTACTCCTGGCTTTACTCTCAGGAATTACTCCTGGAGGTGCTTGGGGGACCACATGGGATGCTGGGAATTAAACCCGGGTTGGCCATGTGCAAGGCAAACGCCCTACCCACTGTACTATTGCTCCAGCTCCTGTTCATTATTCTTGAGCTAAAAATTATATCCCAAAAGTCAGCAACTTATATACACATCTCTCAGACCTATTAGTCAGTATAAAAAGTGACCTTAAAACTAGAAAAATCAGACCTTTTGCCAGGTGAGGTCTGCCTCTCCTGACATCACTTGAGCTAATCTGAACCGAGCAGAGCCCCTTCCTTCCAGCTAGCTTCCAGGAGCCTCCACATCTCCTGACCTGTGCCATACAAATGATCCCACACCACAGCTCCTAAAGCATGCAACAGATCTACTCAACAAATTACAAGCTACACAGTTATTCTTCTTGTCCTTTGGCGAAAACAGGCAAAGAATATAAAGGGCAATCTCAGCTTATTCCCTCAGTATCTTCCAGGGAGTCAAAAACAAGGCCACCCCAGCACTAGAAGAACACTAGAAAACCAATGGGGAAAACACAAAGAAACCCACCAAGCTCAATAAGTGAAAACAGTATCACCCAAGACATAAATGACACCGGTAAATCCTCAGGCAGTATCTTTAGTGACACCATAATGAAGATGTTCAGTGAAAGAAACAATAAGCACAGGTAGTCAGCAAAGCACAAGAAAATCCGAGTTGAAGTGAAAAAACTACTACTGTCAGAAATGACAGAAATAAAGAACATGATAAGTAATATTAAAAACTCAACAGAAGCTCTGAATAACAGAAGCTGAACAAAAGATCAAGGGGCACTAAGCAAACAGCAGAAGGTGGGAAATAGTCTGGAGGGAAAAAAAAGAAAAACAGAGAACTAGGGGATGAATTAAAAAATCAACAGAGTCCCTTCAAGAACAGAAAGGCAATGTGATGAAGAAACAATGTAAAGAACCTATCAAAAAGAGTTTCCCAGAGTTGGAGAGACCTAGCACAATAGGTAAGCTGCTGCCTTGAAAAGAGCCAACCTAGGTTGGATTCCCAGGATCCCATATGGTTCCCCAACCACTGCCAGGAGGGATTCCTGAGTGCAGAGCCAGGAGTAACCCCTGAGTCTTGCCAGGTGTGCCCCCTCCCACCAAAAAATGAATAACCCAGAGTTGAGGATTATAGGCACTGAAATTCAAGAGATCAGAAAGGTCCCAGAGAAAACAGACTAACTAGAGAAACTCCAAGACACACTGTACTCAAAATGATAAAATCCAAAGACAGAGAGAATACTGAAAGTAGCAAGTTCAACAAAAAGAACACACATACAAAGGAAGGCCCATAGATGTATAGCAGATCTATCAAATGAAATTCAGCGAGTCCTAAGACTGTGGAGGGATACAGTACTCAACAAAACAAAGACCTCACCAAGAATACCCTGTCTCGCTTGATTATCAGTCAGATTTGAAGGAACTATACAGAGCTTCATGGACAAGCAATAGCTTGGGGAACTCATAGCCTTGAAGCCAGTTCTGCAAGAAGCAAAAAATGAGATTCTCAAGGACAGGACAAATTTCCCCACATACAGCACTGAGTATGACACTCACCAAGAGTGCGCTAGATTAGAAAAGGTATGCATACTCCCATTGGACTACGCTAGCAACGCAACCGGGATGAATGGAGACGTTACTGGCACCCGCTCGAATAAATCGATGAATAACGGGGATTAAGTGATTAAGTGATTAAGTGATGCATACTCCTAGCTTGCTAAGGGATTTTACACATTTTCAATGATCAATTAACATCTTATTTATATTGGTTAAAACCACTTAGCAATCAACTGTCACAAATTTACTTTATTGGTTTATTGATTTATTTTGATAAATTCCATTTGTAATTCCTCTAAGTCTTGTTGGGGAAAACAATATGAAATAAATTTGTTATTTGCCTGCCAGGAGGGGAGGCTGAGAGGCAGGAGGAAACCTGGGGACATTGGTGAAGGGAGGAAGTCACCGACGAGGACACTGGTGGTGGGATTGGTGTTGGAAAATTGTATGGTGAAACGACTCTATTAAGAGCAAATGTGTAAATCATGGTGCCTTAATAAAAATTAGAAAAACAGACCAACCTTATCAGATACTGACAGGAAACAATTTGGCAGTTAGTTTATTCTACAGGAAAAAAAAAAGTAAAGTATTACTCATAACATACTTACGAATAAACATCATTATCCACAATGATACCTTCAGTCAGGTTAGGCCATGTAGTGGCTAAATGGAGTTCACTAAAACAAACAAACATAAAATATATCTTAAAGTTTATAATACTCTAGATAGCACCCAATTCAGCGATTTGGCTGCTAGGAATGAGTCATAACTAAAAATCCAGGGATGCACACACAGGCATGAGCCTATGAAAGTGGTGTTGCCAAAATTTTTATCAGCTGAGGAGTAGACCAATTGCAAGATTTTCAAAAAATGGTACGTTATTCAGCCATAAAAAGCAATGAAGGACTGATTGATGCCTCCAAACAGAGTTCAAGGGGGCATGAGGGCCACTCCTAATGGTGCTTGGGGCCACCAAGGCTCACCTACACCAAGGCTACGCTCGGGGGAGCGGGGGATGCAGGGCTAAGGACTGAACCCAGAGCCTCCACGTGCCAGATATGTGCGCTAGACTTTTAAGCTATTTAGTAGCTAAGAACGTAAACTTTTCTTTTTTTTTTGGGGGGGGGGGTCACACCGGGCAATGCACAGGGGTATTCCTGGCTTTGCACTCAGGAATCACTCCTGGCAGTGCTCAGGGGACCATATGGGATGCTGGGAATCTAACCCGGGACGGCCACGTGCAAGGCAAACGCCCTACCCGCTGTGCTATCACTCCAGCCCCTAGAACATAAACTTTTTAAGGTTAAGAAAAGAGAGGAGGGATATATAACCAGCATGTGCTATCGTAGATTAAAAATGGAAAATTACTAGCACCAGAATAATTTTATATATCAATCTTGGATTCTGGTTCAAAGTCTTTATGACCAAGTCTACCTCTCTCGAACTGTTGAATTCTTTTTACAAGATAGATGACACTAAAAAAACCTCTTCACTTCTTCTGATACTATCAAACATTCCTTTCAAACCATAGTTGCCAAGAACATTCAATAACCACCATTTGTTTTGAATGGCCTGCCCAAATACCTCCTCTTACTGCTAATCTTTTTTAATTGCTTTTCATTCATTTATTTCTCTCACAACCTTACGATTTAAATTAGGAAAAAGCATTTAAAAACTAATTACGTCATTGTATACTATCAGGTCAATTTTATTCCCCCTCCTAAAATTTTCCTGAAGCAAAATTGAAATAAAAAAAAAACAACCAAAGGGCGATAAATATACCTGTCAGCTATGCTACATCATTCCTCTTGTGCTCACTACCTTGAAGCCAGGCTGGCTGCCTTTTCTTTCCTCCTGAGAAGCTCTTTGCCTGCTCTTCCTTTCACACAGAAAGGAGATTCTCTCTCTTTGCCTGGCTCCCTAACTGAAACATGGATTAATTATCACTTCTTTTGAGAACATTTTCCTGATTAAGTTTCAATTTGCTTTCCACTACATCATGCATTTATTCTTCAAATTATATTTTAAGTTTTATTTAGGTAATTATGCTGCCTATTTCCTTCAGTTAGACTTACATGCTATGGAGAAAGATTTTTTTTTTTTTAGCTTTGTAAATTCCCCATTCCCCATTCAGCACAGTACCTGCCACATCTGATAGTAAAAAATAGAAAAAGATTATCAACTTCACTTGAGTAATTTCAACAGTATTATTATTCTATCTATGTATGAGAGTATTAAGCATGTATGAGTATATGGGTATATATTCTAATTAACCAAGCAGTTTATTTATCATACCAAATAAAGATCATTTCTTAATTTTCCAAGTATGCTGCTATCAATGATTGTATTTTCCAAACCCTATATTTTCTTCTGAAACTACTTTAAAATTTGTTAGTTCTCCTAAAATAACTTAATTATATTAAAAAAAATGTGCCTGTCATAGAGACAAGCTGGTGGACAGGGAAAAATTGGGAAACTGGTGGAGGAAAGTGGACACTGATAAAAGGACTGGTGTGAAAACATTATTCCTGAAACCCAATCGTGAATAACTTTGTGATTCATGGTAACAAAATTAAAAATAAATAAAAACAAAATGTTTCCCCAAAGGATAACAAGAATCACTTCTGTAAGGAATAATCAATAAATGGTATTACAGACATTTTAATTTTACTCATTTGGCGGGGGACGGGAGCGGGAGTTGGGCCATACTCGGTGGTGCTCTGGGCTTATTTCTGGCACGGTTCAGGGGACCACGGGTGGTGATGGAGATCAAATGAGGGCCATGAAAGGATAGTGCCTTCACCCCTGTATTATCTCTTTCAACCCTACAGACATTTTAAAGCCTCTTCTGTTTTAGGTGGAGGAGGAGGGCATGGGGATGGGGAGGGTGGAACCCATGATAACTCTCAGTAACTCCACACTCTGCATTCAAACATAAACTCCTGGCAGTGCTCCAGGGATGATCAGGATCAAACCTGGGTTAGCTGTGTGCAAGCAAGTGCCCCATGCACTATGCTATCCGTCCAGTCCAAGCCTTCTATTTCTTAAGGTAACAGAAAAAAAAAGATGGCCAGATAGTTAAGTGTAGATAACTGGTAGCCCTGGAGGCTGTGGTATTAATGATAAAAGAACAGAAAAGTCACTATCAACATAGTTAAAAAGTAAAATCCCCTAGTTCAAATAATAGACTGAAATTCTCACCTAATAGGATCTTCACAGGCACCAAAAGGTAACTTGCCAAACTCCAGGCCGCCAACTTCTCCTCCTACAAGGGCATCTATATCTAAAGAGAAAAAAGGAAGAGAGAAAAAAGTTTTTTCATTAGCAAAAAATAGGGAAGTGAAAATTTAAGCTTGTTATGTAAGTCCTTTGAGAATGATTAAATGTCAACATCAAGAATATACACAGCAGGGGCCAGAGTAATAGTGGGTAGGGCATTTGACTTGCACACAGTCAACCTGGGTTTAATCCTCAGCATCCCAGATGGTCCTCCAAGCACCACCAGGAGCAATTCCTGAGTGCAGACCCAGTAATAATCCATGAGCATCATCTAGTATGATCCAAAAAAGCAAATAATAAATAAACTCACACACATATGTGTGTATACTGTTCTAAATGCGAATTAGAAAGCTTTTAGGATCTAAAAACTTCCTCCAAATTATTACTGTAGTAAGACAACACTAATTCCTATTGATGTAGTGGCTCACTCGAACAGTACATTATAAATTTTACTCAAGAGCACATTTTCCTAATTTTTAGGAATAATACATTACAATCTGATTCCTAAAAATACAATCTAAAGAAATGATTATTCACATTTAAAAAATTTAATCTCCAGCACTGGAGCAATAGCACAGCGGGTAGGGCATTTGCATTGCATGTGGCTGACACGGGTTCGATTCCTGACATCCCATATGGTCCCACGAGCACCGCCAGGAGTAATTCCTGAGTGCAGAGCCAGGAGAGACCCCTGAGCATTGCCGAGTGTGACCCCAAAAGCCCAAAACAAAAAATTTAATCTCCAAGATCTGAGGATAGTACAGAAGGGTAAGGTACTTGGCTTGCCTTACATATGGCCAAATGGGGTTGGAATCCTCAGCATCAAAGAAGTGTTCTCCTGACACGGCCAGGATCACTCTTGAGCACAAAGCTAGGAACAGTATCTGAGCACCACCAGGTGTAGCCCCAAAGTAGATAGAAAAAGAAAAAACTTTTAATCACCAATCCACATTCATTAGTTCTGGCGACTCAACATGGAGATCTTTAAAGTTTAGAAAAGAATTTTCTTCCTGTATAGATGGTATCTAAAATAAGAAATTTTAAAGAATATATCACGGCTTTAGTACCATCTATTTTGAAGAAGTAATAAGCATTTTTAAAAGACATCAAAAGGATTTATTTCTCTTTGGAATAACACAGATGGTTATTTTTAATTATTCACACTACACTGGATTCAAGTCTATTGCTGAGTTATGAAACTGTCCAGATTTGTTAAATCATGTTTGACAGTTATCTAAACCCTAACTAAATTATTAAAAATAAGTCATTAAAAATGACTCAATTACTGGATTCAGTAAATTTTCAAGTCATTTGTTTCGTTTTCCAACTAAAGAATGCTTACAACAATAAAGATCACAATGACTGGTTTTATTACAGCATATGAATTTTTAAGAGCTTCAAAATTTATAAGCATATTATTACTACATAATAACTATACAAAAGTTTTAACTGACTTTAAAGTTGAGAAACAACACTGTGGAATGAATTATCAAGGGTTTTTGAGTGTCACAAATGTCTGAATTCAAACATTGTCACTTAGTGGTATGGTCTTGTGCCTATAACTTCTATGCTCTAACACTTAAATTCTTTAAGACATGTTAACAGCACCTGTCTCCTAGGTGAACGAGAATTACATGAAATGTTCTACAAAGTACCAAACAGTGAACGGCCCTTCCTACATGTTGAATTCCTTTTAAAAGAAGAAAATACTAAAAATAAATATGGCTTTCAATCACTATTACAGCAGTCAACACCTAATATCATGCTCAATAGTGAAAAGCGGAAAACCTAAAGATACCCCGGAAGGTATTTCTGGACGGTTTCAAAGAGATTACCAGTAGATTAACCTGAAGAAAGGAAAGTGACCAGGAATCTCTGTTGCTGAAACTAAAGGACTAGCACTAAAGAACTAGGTGCATTCCATACTCTGGATCATAACCTTTGAACAGCACACCTTAATCCTCTTAATTCTAAGTAATAACCAATAAAAATTTTTTAAAATATTATAAAGCCCCGCAATTTTACATGGCCTTTAACTCACTAAGAAAGGCTAATATTTTGATTGCTATTAAATAATTTTGAAAACTGAACAAAGGTTAAGTTAGTAACAGCAATAATAGTGCTACGATTCTGCTTCTTGTCTTCGAGATCAAGAGAGCCTCATAAAATGGAAAAGGGGGCGGGCACTAGAATCGTACAATGGGTAGGGCTTTTGCCTTGTATACAACTGACTCAGGTTTGATCCCAAGCATGCCATATGGTCCCCTGAGTGATTCCTGAGTACAGAGCCAGGAGTAAACTCTAAGCACCACTGGTTGTGGCTCAAAAACAAAGACAGGGAAAAAAATAGAAAAAAAGAAAAGGAGGGTAAAGAATTGATACTTCATACGAGGATGATGATGACAACTACTTAGAGAATATGGCTGGATGGGAACTTAAATCAAACATCTGTAGTCTTTCTTCTAATATAAATTTCAGCTTGGTTTTTTATTTCCCTTTGCTATATAGTTTAGAAGAATTTCTTATCTTTTACTCCTTTTTTTTTTATCTGGGTGGAGGGAGGGTGTTTGGGGCCACAGTCAACAATATTCAGGGGTTCTTGGCTCTACACTCAAGAATCACTCCTGGTAGTGTTTGGGGGACCATATGTCATGCTTGGGATCAAACCTGGGTCAACTGTACACAAGGCAAAAGCCCTACCCACTGTACCATTGCTCGGGGGATGGCTGGAATCAAACTCAGATCAGATGCATGCAAGGCAAACGCCCTACCTGCTATACTATCTTTTCTGCCAGGAAATGTATTTTTTTAATTTTATTTTAATTTTTATTAGTGAAATACCAAGAGGTACAGTTGTAGACTTACAAATTTTTATGCTTGGGTTTCAGTTATACAATGATTGAGTACCCATCCCTCCACCAGTGCCCATTCTCCATCACCACTAATCCCAGTATCCCTCCCACCTTCCACCCCCCCATACTACTCTGCCTCTGTGGCAGGGCATTCCCTTTTGTTCTCTCTCTCCTTTTGGGTGCTGTCGTTTGCAAAAGAGGAATTGAGTGGCAATCATGTTCGTCTGTAGTCTACTTTCAGCATCCATCTCCCATTCTGGGAGGATCCTCCCAAAACCCTTTATTTGGTGCTCCCTTCTCTGTCTGAGCTGCTTTTACGCCTAAAGTGTGTGGCTGGTCTCCAAGCCATGGAGTAAACCTCCTGGTACTTATCTCGGCTATTCTTGGGTATTAGTCTCCTGTTTTGTTACTTCATGTTCCCCAGATGAATGCAATCGATGTCTGTCCCTCTCTTTCTGACTCATTTCGCTTAGCACGATACTTTCCATGCAGTACCACTTGTATGTAAATTTCATGACTTTATCCTTTCTAACAGCTACATAGTACTCCATTGTGTAGATATACCAAAGTTTTTTTTACCAGTCATCTGTTCTCGGACACTCAGGTTTTTTCCAGATTCTAGCTATTGTAAACAGTGCTGCAATAAACAAACAAGTGCAGATGTCACTTCGACTATACTTTTTTGCCTCTCCGGGATATATTCCCAGGAGTTGTATTGCTGGGTCAAATGGGAGCTCAATTTCTAATTTTTTGAGAATCGTCCATACTGTGGAAATGTATTTCTTATTTATATATTATAATTTAAAAACATTCAGTGGTACAAAATAGCAGTTATATATAACTACCAAAATATACTACTTAAATTTTAACATTATTCCAAGACTGTCAATTTATTATTTCAATACTCTAAATAACAAACTACCTGGAATAAAAATAATCTATAATTTGATTTCATTCTAATTCAGTTTTCTTTGGTGAGGGTCTAGTAAAATCCTTGTAATTATTTATAAGTTTGTGTTAAATTTCTTTTTGAATGTGTTTAAAATAACAGGATTTGCATATGAGGAATTAAAACATCTCATAACTGGATTTTAAGTTCATTGGGCTGTGTTTTTCTAAAATAATTCTATTTTATCTATGTTCCCAGAGGTATGGATTAATAATTACACTAATAATGACTGTTGAATAAATCACAATGCTTATGCTTTAAGTAAGCTGATTTTGATTTTCACTAAAAGCAAGTAAAATATTATCCTTTCAGGGGCTGGAGTGATAGCACAGCAGGTAGGGCATTTGCCTTGCACACGGCTGACCTGGGTTCGATTCCCAGCATCCCATACAGTCCCCTGAGCCCTGCCAGGAGTAATTCCTGAGTGCAGAGCCAGGAGTAACCCCTATGCATCACCAGGTGTGACCCAGAAAGAAAAAAAATTATCCTTTTAATAATTAGCATATAAATACATAATTTTTCTTTCCTTATTTGTCCTCTTCAAACTCTCCTCTGTAAAAACTTAGGCTTTGCAAATCTGTTCTAGGCTGAAAAGAGTAGCTTTTCATATATTCTTCTCTTAATAAAAACAGATCTTTTTATGATCAATTTATTTATTTGTTAAATCCCCATGAGATACAGTTATGAGATTGTTTATGATTGAGTTTCAGTCATACAATGATAAAAACACATCTTTTAAATTATTTACTACAGGCTGCAGGGCTGGAGTGATAGCACAGCCCGTAGGGTGTTTGCCTTGCATGTGGCCCACGCGGCCAACCTGAGTTCGATTCCTCCGCCCCTCTCAGAGAGCCCAGCAAGCTACCGAGAGTATTTTGCCCACCCAGCAGAGCCTGGCAAGCTACCCGTGACACATTCAATATGCCAAACACAGTAACGACAAGTCTCATGATGCAAACGTTACTGGGCCTGCTCGAGCAAATCAATGAACAATGGGAGGACAGTGCTACAGTGCTATGGGCTGCAAACTTACAGCATATGAAGATTCAAGAAGATTTGTTTTACAAATAATACTAGATTTCAAAGACAAGTGATCAAACAGAGCAATACAATCTCTCAAAAAACTCACAGGGGTTTATTTTGAGAAGTGAAAAAAAAAATGGGTTGAGGAAGTAACTCAATGGTCCAGCACATGCTTTGCAGATGGAGATCTGAGTTCTCTACAACACACAAGGCTTTTTCAAAGGAGGAAACAACAGACCAGGATGTGCCCCTTGAAGAGCACATGCAGTGAGTGAGTGAAGCCCTAGGTTCAATCCAGAGCACAACAAAAAAAGAAAAAGGGCTTGATAAAGGCAATAAAATCAGCAACACTGTAATACCTGAAACAGTGAATTTCAATTTCTTAATGCTCTCTTTTCCATTTCTATTCAGAAGTTAATGTAGTTCTAAATTATCTCACCTGGAGGTTGCTGAGGCCAAAAATACTGCTGCCAATCCTGAAGTACATAGGTAAAGCGAATGGCAATACTAACTGGAGGCAGTGGAGTTAAAGGACATCCCTAGGAAACAAATGCAGACACAAATACCACGTAAATGCTAGTATACTTATTCATATATATTCAACATCAAAATTTCAAACTATCAGAATTGATAAGATTACTACTTTATGAAATACAGATTTTTAAATACAGAATTTCAAAGTGACAGATACTAATATATTCCAGCCATAAAAAATGTATGCTGTCGTAGTCATTAAAAAGTCACAAAAGTTATTACGAGTTTAAAGTGCAGAATTTAGGGGCTAGAGTGGGAGTACATAGGACAGGGCATTTGATTTACGTTTGGTTGGCCTGGGCTCAATCCCTGGCACCATATATGGTCTCCAGAGCACCACATTAAGAGTAATCCCTGAGTGCAAAGTCAAGAGTGAGCACTGCCAAGTGTGGCCAAAACACAAACAGGAGAATCAAATGTTTCCATTTTCTATAACAGTTGTGCTTGACGGAGAAGACAACAGGCATAGAGAAGGGATCCTAAGTCAATGATGGTTGGAGGGATCAATCAGGATAGAAGATTTGTGCTGAAAGTAAATAAAGGACCAAATATGATAGCCTCTCAGTATCTGTATTAAAAACCATAATGCCCAAAAGTAGAGAGACAGTATGAGGGAAACTGTCTGTTATAGAGGCAGGGGGAGGGGTGGGCTTGGGGAGGGAGGGGGGATACTTGGGACACTGGTGGTGGAAAATGTGCACTGGTGGAGGGATGGGTATTCGATCACTGTACGACTGAAACTCAAACATGAAAGCTTTGGTTGGTCACGGTGATTCAATTAGAAAAAAAAAAAGCTGTGCTAAAAAAAAAATTAGGAATAGGAGAAAGCTCAAAGGGCTAGAGCACATGCCTGCATAGATGGAGGTTTCCCATTCAAGCCCTACTCAGGTATCTGCATCAGTCCTGGAGTCCCGGCTGGGTATGGTCCTGGTAGCCTCCAGTTCTGCTGGGCCCCAAGCAGCACAGAACTGTCAGGCCTGAATCACTGAAGACACCTCTGGAGGTTCAGAGTACTGCTGAGTGTGGCCCTTAAAATAAAATTTCTTTTTTAGGACAAAAGATAGCTCAAAGGGTTAAAAGTACTGAATAGCCAATCCCCTGAGCTCCTCTGGGAGAGACTCATTTGCACTGCAATACGAATAGTCCCCAAGCACTGCTGGGTTTGAACAGTGCCACAGAGAAATCGCATGAAAATAAAGCTTCTAAACTATTATCTGTGAATTCTGTGAAACAAAATTGCTCTTTCAAAATATATTCAATTTTATATAATTTTTTACTATTATCTTCAGATAAGACTAAATGTGAAAATTATGATTTACTTTTGTGTGTGTATGTCTGGGCCAGTGGTGCTCAGGGTTTCCTTCTGGCTCTCGATGCCCAGGGATCATATCTGGTGGGGCACAGGGGACTATATGTGCTGCTAGATAGTGAACGCTGGATGACCACAAGCAATGCAAGCGTCCTACTCACTGATGATCTCTCCAGCCCATAATTTACTTTTTAAACTGAGGTAAAAGTAGTAATAATGGGTAAGAATTCTTTCGGGGAGATGATGATTTTTCTTTCTTGAAATAAAACTAAGCACAAATTAAAGTCAGTCTGAAGTAATTAACCGAATTCTAGACCAAGTGACCAAATGGTCACTTACACAAAATAGACTATATTAATACTCATTTAAAACAAAAATTCTATGATCTCAACTTCCCTTAATGATTAGTATAAGTCAATGTGGAATAGGACTTGATGAGGGTCTAGCAAGCTTGTGAAAATACAGATTCAAAAATATTCTGCATGTCTAAATAGTTTCCAGGTATTTCCTGGAAAAATGCTGGTTAGGGAAAAAAGGATTTATTAGTGCAGCAGCAGCAGAAACTATAACCATAACAATGTCACTGAAACACCTAACCTCTGTTTCAATCACATAACAATGCAGATAAATACAGAAAGAGATATCCAAGAAAGAAGTGGTTAGAATCAAAGACATCTGTTGGCTCTAGCAAAGTGTAGACAACCAAACTGAGAGGTGGAGTTCAAGGTATACACCTGCTGATTTCCAGGTGCAGAAAAAAAGCAGTGACAGCCGAGGACAGCCTAGGATTACAGACTGCACTGAACAGAATGAAACAATTCTCAGTTTAATGCAGACAAAGGGGGAAGGGCGCTCTGACTTGTACTCTGGCTTTTTTAGATGCTACGATGCTGCAGTTTTGTGTAAAGAGAAGAACGCCCTATTGCCATGACCTGAATACAGAATCAAGTGATTCTAATACCTCCTTATTAGCACCATAGCAAAAAGTTCCAAATGGTATTTTAAAATCCAGTTCTGAAATATGCCATGAGTAGAGAGTAAATCAACTACAATACTACTACTGGAAATGAGAAAATTATTTTTTTTAATTCACCCTCACTAAAATGATCCTGAAAACAAAACATCCCAGACATAAAACACTATCTAAAAGAGAAAAAAATCCAAATATAGAATTAAAATATTCAAACCATGAAATATGATTCTATGTAATTATAAAGGGTAAAATACTCCCCAAGTCTTTTTCTAATAAACAGAATTATGTGAAGAAGAGAAAAGAAAAACACTATAATATAATGAAAGATAAATGACCTGGAACAGTTCAAGTTGATGCTGGAACATAATTCTATTTTTTAAATTATATTACTATTGCCTTTTGGGCCACACCTGGCAGTGCTCAGGGCTTACTGGCTCTGCACTCAGGGATCACTCCTGGTGGGCTTTAGGGAAGATAAGGGATATTGGGGGTTAAACTGGGTCATCCACATCCAAGATAACAGAATATATAAATACTAATAAACTGAAGGAAAAAAATCAGTTTGTTCTTTAGTTTTAGTATACTAAGACTCCAATTAACTATTTTGTTCCTTTAAATCTACATAGTAATTTTCTTTAAGAAATTATAAATATCACAATGTTTCTGTATGCTCAATATAATGACCAAATTGGTACTTTTATTTGCCAGACAAAACTGACAATATCAATGTCAACTTACAATCTTAGATTTGAAGATATCTAGCAGACCTGATAAATGAGTATACTGATTTGGTACTTTGCGAAGATGAACCATTTCAAAATCAGTTCGGACACCAGGACCCTGGCATTCTCCCACATACATTCTCCGCCACTTGTGATGAATCTGCACGAAGAGTGGTACCTGGCTGTTGGGCATAATAAAGAGGAACAGACTGTAAGCTCATAAAACATTAATTCCTCATCTAAACATTTTCCAATGTAATGTTAATTTTAAATACTTCTCCCCACAGACTGACATTTATAATAAAGACACTTTCAAGTCTTTTTTCTTCCTTACGCTAATAATAAATGGAAGAAACTCATCTCGAGATAATTTGCAGTCAGAGCATTGTTTTAAAAGCTCTGAAAGTCATGGAAAAGAAAAATAAAGTCTCCTTGAATAAGAGCGATCATACCATGTAAGTCCTTATAATATTAGAGCAAAACCTGGATTCACAGTTATTAAGTAGTACTAATCAAACCGACATCAATGGTGAAGTCATTTTTACTTTATCTTTTGAAGATTAGCAGTCCTCCAGATTCGTGGATTTCAATGTCTACAAATTAGACTCACTAAAATATATTTATAATTCCAAAGTCAATACTCAAAGTTCTTTCAGTCATTTGCAAACGTACATAAAGCAACAAAAAAAAACCTGTCTCCTGAGCTTTAAAATTTTATTTTAAACAAAATTTAAATGGACTATGTATGTGGATGCAAAGTACAAAAATAGTACAAATCACTTCAAATACTCATTTCAAACATTCACGGATTATTTCAATGTTTCCCTTTACAAGTACCCCTCTTGGGAACCAAAAAGATAATACAGCAGAAAAGGCATTTGCCTTCAGAAATGCCTTCCCTACTAAATTTGCCAAGCATAATTTATCCTTATGTTGCAAATTCCAATATAACAGAGTACAAGAATTAGGATACTTAATAATCATTTTTCTTGGAAAAAAATCATAATTTAAAAGTTTTTAATTCGTTGTCTAGGTTTGTATAAAGTTCTCCTACCAGCCAGTGTTCCCCAAAGCAATCGACACAGAACTCAGAAGAAGGTTGCACTTGGATTCACTGAGAACAGCATCGCTGTTGGCAGCAGGGGCTATCACCACAAACTCCCGAAGGCCGTACCTACAGGGGAGAAACAGCACCAACAAGCAAAGGCAATCTTCAGAATATAAAATTCCATTATTTAAAAAACAAGAAAGAAGTTCCCTAAAGGAACTTCAAGGAAAAAAGCTCCTTCAAGTCAACTATGAACTACGAACGCATGTTTTTTCATTGCAAGTATATTTCTTTCGATTCTCTACAGTCTTAATTTCTTTAGGGAAATACTTGTGTTACTTCACCTACAATTCCTCCCAACCCCATTCTTTATAAACCGTTGAAATTCCAAGGAATAGTACATGATAGTTTTGCCTTAAAAGGTGTTTCCAGAGGCCAGAACTATTGTACAGTGGATAGAGCATATGCCTTGCATACATCTGACCCAGGTTCAATCCCCAGCATCCATCTTATCCCCTGAGCACCATCATTCCTGAGCAGAGAGCCACCAAGTACGTCTTGAGCGCTGTCTGCTGTGGCCTTCCACCCCCCAAAAAGTTAATTCCAAGATAAAAGATGTAAAATCCAGCACTGCAATACTGCTTTGGTTAACATAAAGCAACTAATGTGGAAATTTAAAGTTTGATATATTTTCTAAAGAACAGGAATATAATTACCAGTCAAGGTATATCAGGCTGACTAAAATGAAAACATGGTTTACTTAAATATTTTAATAAAGATTTCTTTGTATTCTTTTACTCAGCAACATAGCACAGCGGTAGGGCGTTTGCCTTGCACGCAGCCAACATGGCCGACCCGAGTTCGATTCCTCCGCCCCTCTCGGAGAGCCCGGCAAGCTACCGAGAGTATTTGATATGCCAGACACAGTAACAACAAAGTCTCCAATGGAGATGTTACTGGGCCCGCTCGAGCAAATCGATGATCAACGGGAGGGCCTTTACCTTTACCTTTACTCAGCAACATTTAACAGGTAATAGTCACAAAATTATCAGACACATCTTACGACCACTATGATATCTTATTAGAACAAAAATTCATTCGCTATCAAATCCCCTAAAAACCACAAATTTGCAGCCAAAGTTAACTAACTTAGGAGGCAGGCTACTTGGCAACTGAAATTTACTGATCAATTCACTCGAAGCACTTCTAGTCAATATTTTTTAATTATGGAAAATGATTTATGAAAGATATTAGTCATTTTCCTCATTTATTTCTTCCTCCATGTATATGGACTTATGTCTTTTTAATGAATACTCTCAAGAAATTCCCTAAAGTAGTAAAAACGGCACCTTTACTTTATCATGTCTAGATGTATTCACAAAAAATATATAAAGTTGTGCAAATTATGCTCAGCACCTTCTTTCCTCATGGAAATCTGAAATTACGGTACATGTTAATCACTGTGCCTACGACCTTATCAGCCCCCATTTAAAATCCTGAGGATCTGAGATTCTGGCAAGATCCCCTGACAGATATTACATCTATGGGGGGCTTTGGGCCACACCCAATAATGCTCAGGGATTACTCCTGGCCCTACACTCAGGAATTACTCTGGTAGCGCTTCAGGGACCATACAGACAGGGAGTGAACCTGGGTTGACCATGTATGAGGCAAATACCTTAACCCACTGTACTATTTCTCTGGCCCTAGACATTACATTTATGTTGTCACAACTTACTGCACGGAATTTAAGTATGCCTTATATAACTCCATCAGGAAAGGATTCTTAAGACACTTGAGCTTCCTCCAAACTTTGCCTCAAGCATCTTCCCTACAGCTGATGTTTCTTCGCACACAGACCCTATGATAAATAACTGCAGAAAGTACAACTACATGCTGAGTCCTGCATATCTTCCTAGCATAAAACAGAACTGGGCCAATCTTGTGAGGCACACATACGAGGAGTAATCTGAGTAAAATATATACGTACCATCTTACTAGGCAATGTGCTCTTGGAGGAAAGTCATTGTTCATACACAGCAAATCTTGCATAGCTTGTGGTACAGCATCTATAGAAACATTTGACAATAAAAAAATTAGTATGTTCTAGATTCTAAGGCAGAATTTTGTAATATGATTTAAAGGAAGCATATCGTATGATATGTTTTGCTAGTCCATGTAACTTAGCAATTGCTTAACAATTTATATCTGGAGTTAGAGCTAACATTCACAGAGTGGGGGTAATTTCTATGACAATTACATTACATAATATAGTAATTCAGTCTACTTGGATAGAATGCACATATAATTCCTATATTTAGGTTTCTTTCTAATTCATGACTCAGTTTCTCATTAAATTCTTCATTCTTAATACATAATCTTGTTTTATTAATTCTGAGATTGTTCTTATTTATTTGGTTTTGGTTTTTGTTCGTTTCTTGGGCACTGTTCATGACTTACTCGTGTCTGTGCACTCAAAGATTACTCCTGGCAGTGCTCAGGAGATCATATGGGATGCCAGAGATCAAAACTGATTCCATCAGTGCAAGGCAAACGCCCACCCACTATACTATCACTCCAGCCCCTCTTGGACTGTTCTTGCCTCTACTTTTTCTCCAAAGTTCTAGTTAGAGTTCTGTGCCTCTATATCACCTTCAGGGTAGCCTTTGTTGGCCCCCTGGCCATCTTAAATATTCTTATAAAATCAATAACCAGTTTCATACCTATAATCCATATATCTTTTTGATTTTTTAAATTTTATTTATTTATTTGGTCTGGAGCGATAGCACAGTGGGTAGGGCATTTGCCTTGCACGCAGCCAACATAGCCGACCCCAGTTCGATTCCTCCGCCCCTCTTGGAGAGCCTGGCTAGCTACCGAGAGTATCTTGCCCACACGGCAGAGCCTGGCAAGCTACCCATGATGTATTCGATATACCAAACACAGTAACAAGTCTCACAATGTTACTGGGCCCGCTCAAGCAAATTGATGAACAACAGGAGGACAGTAACAGTGATTTATTTATTTATTTATTGGCATTTTGGGTCACATCCAGTGATGTTCACGAGTTATTCCTAGTTTTGCACTCAGGAATTATGCCTGGCATGGTTGGGGGACCATATGGGGTAGCAGGTACAGTTATTGACTCACAAATTTCTGTGCCTGGGTTTCAATCATACAATGATCAAATACCCATCTCTCCACCAGTGCCCACTTCCCACCACCATGGATCCCAGTATACCTCCCACCTACCATCCCCCCCATCTCACCCTGCCTCTATGGAAGGGCATTCCCCTTTGTTCTCTCTCTCCTATTGTAGCCCACATATCTTTAAGCAAATGAATTACTATCCATTTTAAGACACTAAGAACAATAACCATTTTTTTATAGTCACATATAGAATAAATTCAAAGCATGAATGATAAAGTATTTCCTTTTGCTGTACAGTGATAATTATTTTTGAAAAATTGTATTTGTTAATTTTAACAGTCCTTGTTGACACTCCACTGAAAGTAACTTCAATTAAAACAAACAAAAAAGATCAATGTTCCAATCTTCTGATGTCTGACAATTCAGGTTTAAATATTTATCTCTGGAGCTGGAGCAATAGCACAGCGGGTAGGGCGTTTGCCTTGCACCCAGCCAACATGGCCGACCCGGGTTCGATTCCCAGCATCCCATATGGTCCCTCAAGCTCTGCCAGGAGTAATTCCTGAGTGCATGAGCCAGGAGTAACCCCTGAGCATCGCTGGGTATGACCCAAAAAGCAAAAATAAATAAATAAAATAAAAGTCTAGTTTTTTAAACCATAGATCACAACTCCTTTAACGCAAAAAAATTGATAACAAAAGGTTTCTCAACCACAATGACCAAAAATTAAACAAAAATTAAATGCATAATGAAACGTAGGTGCTTCTGGCAGTGCTTAGCCATGATGTACTGCATAACTCAAGAGGGGGCTGCAAGTGAATGGAGAAGCCCACTTTTAAAGTACAGATATTGATATTCTGACTTAATTATTTTATTATGCTATACAATTGTCTCCTGTATGTATACACATGTTAAATGTTATATGTCCTTGTTTATAAATCGAAAGCATACTCTAATTGTTTTGTTTATAAGAAGTTTAGGACGCTGGAGACAAAGCAGCTCCGAGCATCTGTGCCTCTCCCTTTCCATCGCCGAAGCTGAGATGGTCTCTTCTCCCCACCCAGTCTTTACTCCCCCGACACACACCAGGTACCTGTGGGGGTGTGGCCACTTTAGAAGTGGGCGTGGCTTTAAGAAGTGGGCGTGGCCTAATTCTCGTGGGACTGCACTCACGCGGCCACAAGTAGTTTGCTCATACCAAGAAATCTAAGCCCTACACCTACACACCAACATGAAGAAACAGCGCAAATACCAGCCACAGGGAGATGACAAAGAAACAAGTCCAGAAGCCTCAGTAGGTGCTAGCCACCTAAGGGACCTCTCTGACAAAGAATTCAGATATGAAGTCATCAAGATGTTCAATCAACTCAATGAAACAGTCAGACAGATATCCAGTAAATTGAAAGAGGACATGAAAGAAACAATCGATTGCACAATTGACAAAATACAGTAAGAAATGAGAGCGGAAATTGGAAAGCTACGCACAGAAATGGCACAGATCACAGATTCCATAGATAAAATTAAAAACTCAGTCTGTGCCCTCAAAAATAGAATGACCACTGCTGAGAAAGAATCAGTGAGCTGGAAGATCAGCTGCACCAAGCCAACACACAAAAACAAACAGTGGCAAAGGACCGCAAAATAGCTCTACAGAGAATCAGAGTCCTAGGAGACGATTCCAAAAGAAACAACATTAGAATCATTGGACTACCAGAAGCTCAGGGAAATAATCCCAGTGAAAAAGCCATAGTTAAAATCATCGCCGAAAAATTCTCAGAGCTCCACAATGCAGCCATTCACATTCAAGAAGCCCGAAGGGTGCCAGCTAAAAGACCCGAACAAAAACACTCCAAGACATATCATAGTTAGAATGATCGATGCTGCCGAGAGAGACACAATATTGCAAGCAGCAAGGGTAAAGAAGGAAATCACATACAAAGCAGCACCCCTTAGATTCACAGCAGACCTACCAGAGGAAACCCTCCAAGCCCGAAGGCAGTCGCGAGATATAGTGAAAAAACTAACTGAAATGAATGCTTCACCAAGAATACTCTATCCGGCTAAACTCTCACTCAAAATCAAAGGAACAGTACACTATTTTCTAGATAAACAGCAGCTCAGGAACTTCATAGACTCAAAACCAAACCTAAAACAAGGGCTAAAGGGACTACTATAAGACAAGACAAACCCTACAACCACAACACACCCTTACAGAAAGATGACACAAAACTCCATAACAATAATCTCTCTCAATGTCAACGGTCTAAATTCACCATTTAAGAGACACAGAGTGGCAAAATGGATACAGAGACAGAACCCAACATTCTGCTGCCTACAAGAAACTCATCTCAACACTCAGAGCAAACACAGACTCAAAGTCGAAGGATGGAAAACAATCCTGCAAGCAAACAGCTCCTTCAAAACAACTGGGGTGGCCATACGACTATCCAACAACATTAATTTCACCTTGAAAAAGATTAGAAGAGACAGTGAAGGCTATTTTCTCTTCATCAAAAGACACGTACAACAGGAAGAAATCACTCTTAAATGTATAAGCACCTAATGAGGGAACAGCTAAATATTTAAAACAACTGCTAACAGATTTTAAGGAGGACATCGCTACCAACAAAATAGTACTTGGAGACTTCAACATCGCCTTATCACCTCTGGATAGATCAACAAGAACAAAACCCAGCAAGGAATCATTGGCTTTGAAAGAAGAAATAGAAGAGAAAGAGCTTAATAGACCTATACAGGGCTTTACATCCCCAAAAGAAAGAAAACACATTCTTCTCTAGTGCACACTGAACATTTTCCAAAATAGACCATGTGCTAGGACACAAAACATACCTGAACAGAATCAGGAAGATAGAAATAGTATCAACCATCTTTTCAGACCATGATGCACTGAGGATAGAAGTGAATCACACACAGCACAGACACGGAGAACAAAATCAAACACCTGGAAATTAAACAACTCAATGCTGAACAACGAGTATGTCAGGAATGAAGTCAAGGATGAAATCAAAAGATACCTGGAAACAAATGAGAATGAAGACACGAGCTACCAGAACCTATGGGATGTAGCAAAAGCCGTATTAAGGGGAAAATTTATAGCTCTGCAAGCATATCTTAGGTCTGTAGAAAGGATGCACAGAAACAACTTGACCTCACAGCTCAAGACCTTAGAAAAGGATCAACAGAAAGAGCCTAAATCAGGCAGAAGGAAAGAGATCATAAAACTTAGAGCAGAAATCAATGACATGGAAACCAAAGAAACAATCCGAAAGGTCAATGAAACCAAGAGCTGGTTCTTCGAGAAAATAAACAAGATAGATAAACCACTAGCAACACTCACAAAGAAACAGAGAGAGAGAGAACGCTAATAAACCGAATCAGAAATGAGAAGGGGGATATCACAACAGAAACCAAAGAAATCCAAAAGATCATCAGAGACTACTTTGAAAGTCTGTATGCCATGAAACAAGAGAACCTAGAAGAAATGGATAAATTCCTGGACTCCTATAATTTCCCAAAGCTGAATCAAGAAGATTTGGAGTATCTGAATAGACCTATTAACATCAACGAAATCGAAACTGTAATCAAAAGTCTTCCCAAAAACAAAAGTCCAGGTTCAGATGGACTCACTAGTGAATTTTTCCAAACATTTAAAGAGAACCTACTGCCAGTCCTTCTCAAGCTTTTCCAGGAAATTGAAAAAACGGAAACTCTCCCAAACAGTTTCTACGAAGCCCATATCTCTCTAATACCAAAAGGAAACAAAGACACCATGAGAAAAGAAAACTACAGGCCGATATCCCTGATGAACACAGATGCGAAGATTCTCAACAAAATACTAGCAAATAGAATTCAACTACTCATCAAAAAGATCAACCAGATGATTGGTTAAATAAACTTTGGTCCATTTACACAATGGAGTACTATGTAGCTGTTAGAAAAGACGAAGTCACGAAATAAACATACAAGTGGTACTACATGGAAAGTATCATGTTAAGCGAAATGACTCAGAAAGAAAGGGATAGACACAGAAAGATTGCATTCATCTGGGGAACATAAAGTAGCAAAATAGGAGACTAACACCCAAGAATGGCCGAGATTAGTACCAGGAATTTTACTACATGGCTTGGAGGCCAGCCACACATGCTAGCGGAAAAGGGAGCTCAGATAGAGAAGCGATCACCACATAAAGGGTGTTGGGAGGATCCTCCCAGGATGGGAGAAGCATGCTGAAAGTAGACCATAGACCAAAGCTGATTGTCACCCACTGCCTCTTTTGCAAACCACAACACCCAATAAGAGAGAGAGAAAACAAAAGGGAATGCCCTGCCACAGAGGCAGGGTGGGATGGAGAGATGGGGGGTGGGAGGAATACTGGGATCTGTGGTGGTGGGAAATGGGCACTGGTGGAGGGATGGGTATTTGATCATTGAATAATTGAAACCCAAGCAAAAAAATTTGTAAGTCTGCAACTGTACCTCATGATGTCTCACTAATAAAAAAAAATAAAAAAAATGAGAAGCTTAATAGAAAAGATAATATAATTGTATTCCTATATAAGAAAAGACACAAATATTTCAGATCTGTGTTTATAAATCATAATGTTTTGATCAGAAAAAGTTTAACATGTAGTCTGGCTTTTTTCAGAATAAAAAAAGGTATTTGACAGTACCAAAAATCTAACTGTTCAATACTATGCTCATGTTAGATATTAGTGTATCTCCAGGTAGAGGATTATAGATGATTTGACCTATTGATCACTAAATATACCATTTATTGAGTTCTTACCACAGGCCAGGTATTGAGATGTTTAATACGAAATTTTATTATCCCATTAACTATTTAGCATTACTTTATTTTACAAATGAGGTACAGATTTAGAAAGATCATGTTACCACGTCAAATTTGTTCTGGGGATATACAAAACACTACACTGACTAATCAATGAATTTAATGTATACTTTTTATTCTCCATAATCCAGTTTGCTTTCTTAATTCTTAACAACACTTTGTCTGATCTTTCCCAATTCAAAGTGATCTTTTCTTCTCTGAACTTTAGAACTTTCTGTCTTTTGGCATGATTTAATCACTTTCTACCTCCTATTACTATTACTACTTATACAATTATTTCTTCTCTAAGAATGCAAATACTTTTCACGACTACTAGGTTTAGAAGTAAACTTTGCATATTTTATGTAATAAATAAATATTTGCTGATTTAATTTAAAAATTAACAATAATGAGATTTTTCCTCTAAAAGATCACACTCTCTTCAGAAGTGGTAAAGCAGCTATGCATATGTAAAACATTTCCAGAGGAAACAAATTAAGATAATCACAATTCAAAATTAAAATTACTCTTAGCGTCAGTAATTTTAAATATGTAGTAAAAACGTACCTTCTAATAATTCATCCTTCCCTTCTTCCTTATCACTGGATTCTTGTACAAGATAATGATGAGTGACTGAGAATTTGAAGTCAGCAAAGAAAATTTCATCTGATTTTTCTTCCCATGTGCCAGAAGTAAATATACCCTGTATTTAAGAAAAATGAAAAACATCCACTTTTAAGGAGTCAGTAGTTACCATTATGTTACCAATATCCTGTAGAAGCTACAGGAATTTGGGGATTGGTGAGGGCGGAAAACACACGTAGTGATGTTTAGGGGTTACTTTAGGCTCTGCACACAGGAATTACTCCTAGCCGTGCTCAGAGGACCCTATGGGGTGCAGAAATTGAACACCAGCTACCATATGCACGGCAAGTAACGCCAGCTCTACTCTTTCTCCAGTCCAGCTATAGGAACTGTTTCCCCTTCTACCCATTAACCTAAAAGTTTCATTAGACAGCTACCCAAACCCCGCCTGAGTGCAGAGTCAGGAGCAAACCCTGACCACTGCTGAGTGTACACCTCCCCCAACCCAATAAAACAAAAAAATTAAAATAAAAATAATACAGTGAGAATAACTGGTTTTAATTGAAGGCATAAATGTTCCATATCAAAAGTTACAAAATATTATTATGACCTACATTATAAGATGGTTTGCTTAGGAGAAATGCGTACTAGAAAGCAATTCAGGCTAAAACTAAGGAAAACTCCAGAAAATAAGAGAATTTCATTTTTCAAGCTTGCAATAAAGCTGAAAAATTCTTTTTAAATGACAAAAAGAAATACTTGGCTATGGAGTAGCTGAGTGGCAGAGCAGGAGTCTTGATTCCAGGCACAATGAAACAAAAAACAAGAAACAGGGGCCAGAGAGATAGTACAGTTTGCCTTACAAGTGGCAAGCCTGGGATTCTAATCCCGGCATCCGCATCCCATATGGTTCCCTGAGCACCACCAGGAGTGATCCCTGAGTGCAGAGCCAGGAGTCAGCCTTGATCACAGCCAAGTATGCTTCCCCCTCTCCCCCCCGAAATAAATAACTACACTTAAAATCTACACTAACTCTTCTCTTTACACTAGTTGGTAACCATAAAAAGAGGGGAAAGTATGGGAGAAAAAAGAGAAGATAGAAGAGGAATGAGGGGACGGGAGTGGGAGGGAGAGAAAGAGAAGGAAGGAGGGAAGAAAATAAGAGGAACATTATGTAGCTCTATTCCAGGTACTCCTGTCAACTTTACCAACAGCTATTTCAGGGAAAGTTAGGCTGAATTAAATGAGAAAACGAGCAGTTTGTCTCTAAATAGGTTTTTTTACAATCTTTTAACTAAACTGAAAAACAATATGGCTTTTCATCTTCCTCTCTAATATAGTCATTTGAACCCAAATTCCAGTATAGTATACTATCTTCCATATTACATTTAGAATCAGCTGATAAAGAAAAATTATTAAAAATAAAGAGATGAGGGGCCAAGGCAACAGTGCAAAGGGTTTGAGCATATGCACTACACCAAACATCACCACGTGTGTCCCAAAACTAACACAAGATAAAAAAAAAAAAAAGATAAGAAAAAAATTGTAAAGTCCAAGGAAAAGGTGAAGGGTAGGTTGAGAAGATGATCATTTCCTCTGAAGAGAAGATAAAGGCAATTATGCAGAAACAAGGTACTAAGCATTATCACACTTTGGACCCAACATTATGTCTTTCAATTTACTCGCTAAACTTTAGGTGCCTAAAATATATTCTGAGCCAGAAGACTGGAGGGCTCAAGAACTCTTGAGCACATGAAGATAAATTTGAGAGTTGATCCCTTTACAATAGTTGGCCCAGATCAGCGTTCCACTGTTCTCCTTTCCTGTACTCTCTAATTCTACTTCCAAGTTTATCTTCCTTAAATACAATTCTGACACTGTTCCTCCCCCATTTAAGATATTTTGGTGCTTTACCAAAACCCTGGGCTGGAGCAATAGCACAGCAGTAGGGCATTTGCCTTGCACACGGCCGACCCGAGTTTGATTCCTCTGCTCCTCTCAGAGAGCCCGGCAACCTACCAAGAGTATCTCGCCCGCACAGCAGAGCCTGGCAAGCTACCCAGTGACGTATCATATATGCCAAATACAGTAACAAGTCTCACAATGTTACTGGGCCCGCTTGAGCAAATCGATGAACAATGGGAGGATAGTGCTACAGTGCTACCAACACCCTGGAATACCTAGAGGTTTCCAATCATTTTTATATAAGTAAAAACTTGAACATCATCTCTATTATGCATATTTTCATTATAAGTTTTAGATTATGAGATCAATATATTATGCATAAGAAGCAAAAATTTTCATTATAAAGCTTACACTCTGGCACGGGTAGCTTGCCAGGCTTTGCTGTGAGGGCGAGATACTCTCAGTAGCTTGCCGGGCTCTCCGAGAGGGGCAAGGGAATCAAACCCAGCTCGGCCAGGCCTACCACGCAAGGCAAACGCCCTACCGCTGTGCCATCACTCCAGCATAATTAATCATTTTTTAAAACTCAACCTAAAAGTTAACTCCATAAAGTATCAAATCTGCTTTGCAAGTTATCCTTTTCCAGGATCTTGCTCAAATCAGTATTATAGCACCTTAGACCTAGTTTTCAATTAGGTGTGAAAAATAAAGACTATATTTTATTATTCTCTGCAGTCTAGAATTTGAAAATTCATGTACGATTAATATTATATATAGGTGTTCACGTTCATTGATTTAAAGAAGGCCTTTGATTCTGTTGAGACGGAAGCGGTCATTGAAGCCCTAGCCAATCAGGGCATTCAAGCCCAATACATCAAGATCCTCCGTGAGCTGTATTGCGGATTCACTACCAGGATCTCACCATTCTACAAAGAAGTGATCGTTGATGTCAAGAGAGGGGTGCGGCAGGGTGATACCATTTCACCAAAACACTTCAGTGCCACCCTCGAGAACATCATGCGACGACTGGAATGGGAAGGAATGGGAGTGAAGATAGATGGTCGGCAACTACACCACCTCCGCTTTGCTGATGACATTGTTTTAATAACACCAAACATCAGCCAAGTGGCACAAATGCTGGCCGACTTTGACCATGAGTGTGGAAAGGTAGGACTACAGCTGAATCTTACGAAGACAATGAGAAACAGCCTTGTTCCTGACGCCCCATTCGCTCTCAATGTTGCATCTCCGAATGCAACAGCTATGTGTACCTAGGTCGAGAGGTCAACATGACAAATGACCTGGCACCCGAGCTGCGCAGGAGGAAGAGAGCAGCTTGGAACGCCTTCAAGAACGTCGAAGAAATAGCTAAGAGGACGAAGAACCTCCGGCTCCAGGCACATCTCTTTGATTCCACTGTTCTTCCTGCATTAACATATGCCTCAGAGATCTGGGCCCTACGCAAACAAGATGAGAACGCCATTCAGGTCTCCCAAAGAAGAATAGAAAGAGCTATGCTTGGAATATCACGTTTCACTCAAATGAGAGAACGAATCCGGAGTTCTGACATCCGTCGACGATCAAGAATCAGGGACGCTGTCTCATTTGCCAAGGTGTCGAAAATCAGATGGGCTGGTCACATAATGAGATTTAAAGACGACCACTGGACTAGAGCTGTTACCGACTGGATTCCACGGGATGTCAAAAGACCGCGTGGCCGCCCACCTACCAGATGGTCAGACTTCTTCGTCAAGATCATGAACGATCGGTTTGAGGCCCTTCATGTTCCCGGAGCGAACAGATGCCATTGGGCTACACTAGCACGCGACAGGGACAAATGGAGACGTTACTGGCGCCCGCTCGAGCAAATCGACAACTAACGGGAAGTTAAGTGATTAAGTGATAGGTGTTCACAGTAACCGTATATGACACACAATGACCAAAATTACAACATCATCCAAATACCTTAGATAAAAAGATAAAAGGCCCTCCCGTTGATCGTCGATTTGCTCGAGCGGGCCCAGTAACGTCTCCATTGGAGTCTTTGTTGTTACTGTGTCTGGCATATCCAATACTCTCGGTAGGTTGCCGGGCTCTCCGAGAGGGGCGGAGGAATCGAACTCGGGTCGGCCATGTTGGCCGCTTGTAAGGCGAACGCCCTACCGCTGTGCTATCACTCCAGCCACATCCAAATATATTATGTATAAAAATTTGAATCATATACTGTAAGAACCTAAGACAGCACATAACTCAATCCAAAAAGTATCTTCTCAAGCCAGATGTTTAGTACAGGGCTTAAGACGCTAGCCTTGCATATGGCCATTCAGAATCAATCTCTGGCACTGCAGCTGCCCGAGCACTAGCAGGAACACCACCACAGTCAGAGTCAAGAGCAGTCCCCCAGGAACCTCCTGGTACAGCCCAAACCATCCTCTGTAAGAGTATTTTATTACTTGAATTGATATGTACTTCAGAGTGGTCATGTTCAGTTCTCATTGAAATTTATTTCATTACACGTGTTCAACACGATTAGGTTTTTCCATAACATTTAATAGAAACGTTATTTAGGGTTGGCTATTTACCAGAATCAAATTTCATATCTTAAACAACATACCATGAAAAAATATCTTCTCTTGAAAAAATATAAATTTAACAGTATTTGACAAATTAACAAACTTTTTTTCTAATGACAAAAGTAATACATCATTTAAGAGAAAGAAAATATAAAACACAAAATTTAAGTCTTTTTTTGCATGTGGGAAAAAATTTTAGCATTTACATTTCAATATTACAAATAGTCAAGAGGATTTTTCTACTAGTGAATGAAAACCTTCATTTTTTTATCTACCTAGTTGTCTATGCTGATTCATATCAGAATCACCCTCCTATTTTTTGAAGTACAGTTATGACTAACGAAATAATCAGCTTTATAATCATGTAAGTGGTCTTTAAAAATGCACTGAAATCTAGGCTCTACAATCAACTAATCAAATCAGAACCAGAGACTAGTAGGAGAAATCCTCTTGACTATAATATTGACTATAATATTGAAATATAACTATAATAAAAGCTATTTCCACAAGCAAAAAAGACTTAAGTTAGATCCTGTCCTTACACTAAACATGAAAATTAACTCAAAATTAATCCCAGGTCTAAATATAGGACCAAGAACTACAAATAACATCAAAAAAGTGAAAAGACATCCCACAGTGA